ATCGCACTAAATTTCTTCAAAAAATGTGGAACGCTTCACGATTTTGCGTGTCATCCTTGCGCAGGGGCCATGCTAATCTTCTCTGTATCGTTCCAATTTTAGTATATGTACTGCCGAAGCAAGTACACTTGTGGATGCAAAATTATTATACCCCTCACAAACGCAACGAAAACTTTAATAGCGCGATGTAGAACCTCATACATTTAGCATGGTTTGTACGGCAGTTTAGTACAACGCCATCTATCGGTTTGTAAGATAATACTGTGCTATCTAACATTGTGTTTGTACAAGGTGTGCTTACGACTCACATGTGCGTTCGTACGCGGTCCGGCCCTACATTCTTCTTCCATTATCATTTCCTTTAGCTTTAAAATAAAACTATCGATCTCACTTACTGGGATTGTGAGAGCCTGGTACTTACTTTTAATAATATTTTAATAATAATTTATTTCATCAACTATTATGTACATACCAACAAAATATTAGGAAAAAACCTGTTAAGCAAGAAAATGCTTGTGGTAGGCGATCCTACTATACCAAGGACATCAGCTAAACATATAAGTTTATAAAAATAAATAAAAAGAAAGAAATTTAGAATAATGTGAAATTAGAATACATTAGTTCGCACACTGAGTGTATGTAATGTATGAAGGAATGTGTGTTGTTATGTTATGTTATGAATGTTTGATCTGTGTATTAGTGTTGTGCTCGTGTATATGTGAATGTATGTGTAGTGTTGTTTAGTTTCTTTTTATCTATGTGAACGTACACAGGACGGATTCAACTTCATCGTAATTCTTATTGGTCAGCCATTGAAGTAATGCTTTTTTACATTTATGTGAATTCATAGAATATATGTTAATTTCTTTATTTAATATTTATAAAATATTACTTTATAATAAACGTTTCGTGTTAGCTTTTGTTATCGACTCTACAAACACTATTTGTCTCCAACTGCGCGTTCACTTTCATCACTAAACTTGTTAGGTAGTTGTTACTGAGCCCACAGATGCCTGTATCCGGGCTCTATATCCTTCTAAAAATGGGACACCTCTAATGTATTGCGCTTTACTTTCTAAAAATTGACTAGATGTATTATAATAAAAAAACTGTATGACAAGGGCATCGTCCGTGGAGAAATAATCTATAACATTATAATGTATTATGCGACCCTGATATTTTTTGTCAAATTCGTTGTGCCCTCGACGCGTTAGTGCGTTTTGACTGTACTGGGTGCCACCGACTCACATGTGCGTCTCTCCATCTTTTACATTTTTCTACACCTGCCGGTAACTACCCAGTCAATACGAACACCTCTTATTGTATCATGCGAGCCTGGTACTTTTTGTCAAATGTTCCGTGCCAGCGACGCGTTAATGCGTTCGGTAATCAACCGGTAATACTTACTATATGCCCCCGACAAACATTATTTTTTATCTTAAGTTGTATATATTTAATTTAGTAATATTTAGTTATAATTTTATTTAAGTAATAGTTGTTATTTAAGTATTTTATTGAAACATATTAATTTATTTAATGTTACTTATTACTTAGACTAATTTATTTTAATATGTATTGAAAATGTTAATGTGTTATTATTTGAATTGAATTCTGAAATTTAAACTTTGTATTTTGCTGTGCCCGACAGGGTCCATAATTGTGTCCTAGCTTTGAGCCAATGTAACATCCTAAGAAACATTATGGAATGCAAATAAAGATATGAATATGATTTTATTATGTGTAACCCTAATCTGTAGTACGATTACGAACTATGGATCACCTCTTATTGTATTATGCGCCCCTGGTACTTTTTGTCAAATGCGCAACTCACTTGCGCAAGCCGTCTATTTTTATCTTTTCTAGCATTGTAATTGTAACGTCTTGCCTCGAAGAAATTTAATTATAGTTTGAAATTTTATTAACTTTTGAAGTCATGCATGACACGACACGAGCTTAAGAATATAATTAACAAATAAAACATAAAGGGAGTGCTTCAAAAATTATTTATTTATTCGTATATATAATTTATTTAACCATTTTATAATTAAAATCAACCGATGCACACAACATAAACGTCAGAATATCGAACCTCTCACTCACGCCTCGCGGACGAAAGATAATCTTTAGGGGAACACGTTTTGTAACAAAGGCGACTTTATCTCGATGGCAGTAGGTCGGTATTACAGAACGTGTTGCCCTAAAGGTACAGTATACGCAGATTTATATGCTAGATATACAATAATTTAGTTAAAAGTCCTGTGTGACGCTTGCATGGTTCACAAGTAAAAATTATTTAATTATAAAAAGCTGAATTAAGTATTATCTAAAATTAATACTTTCACTAAATACTTTCCAGTTATTTAAAATAAAGATTCACTTTCGACATAGTGTTGTAGTGTTCAGGATCTCAGGGAAAAATATATCGATAAAATAAAATCAACATCTATGCCCGCACTATTGTAAAAAATAAATGTGAGAATTGTCAGTGTGTATAAAAATATTTCTATTCTATTTCCTTCGAAATGTCTATCAATTATTACGTCTTTTTTATTGCTATTGTTATTATTAGTCTGCAAGACAACAGTATGTCGAAATTATAATAAAATCGGTCTAGGTATGCATAATTATGTAAGTACTATTCTGCAACCATCAATAAAAATGTCATCAACACAAATTGTGAATAAATAATGCGACAATAAATAAAAATAAACGAAAAAAGGACTAATAGACTAAAAATGACTGACATATTGATTTTTTTATTATACACAGATAAAAAATAAAATAGCAAAAAGCTTGTATCACTGAAATCGATCGCTGATTAATACTTAATGAATATTTTTTTTGACTACGAGATTTTGAATTTTATTTGACACTTATTATAGTTTAATTTCGTTTATAGCGAATTATTTCAGTGATCAAGCTTTGGACATTGGATTCGAGATAAAAATAGAAATTTAAAAATACGTATTCCAATTCAGAATTAAAAGAAAAACTGTATCAAAATTGTCCTGATAGGCTAAGCAGAGGACATTAAATATATTAATATTTAAAATCCGAAGTCCAAAGTGAGTTTAAAGTGGTCATAATGATATACTAGATATTTAATTTTTCCACAATATGACTTACGCTCGAATACTGAAGGCTACTCAATTCTAGGTTTTACTTAAATATCGTCGATCTTAAATAGTGCCATCTTTGTCATTTTACAAAGAATTTGTAGAGACAGAACTATACCTACGCGACTTATAATTGAGTGGCCTTTCAGTACTCGAGAGTTAGTGATATTGTGAAAAAAATTAAAAATACATATCATTATGAGCTCTTATAACTTCAGACACAGTTAATGTTGAAGATGTAATGGTTTTTGTAGGAATTTACGTTACTATTAAAATATATTTCAAAAAATTTTAATATAAAAATATCTACAACATGGGGTTCTTCAAGAGGGGAGTGAATAGGTTTCTTAAGGGTCGGCAAGACGCATGTAATGCTTCAAGTGTTGCAGGCGTACATAGGGCGCGGTAACCGCTTACCATCAAGCGGGTCGTGGGCTATTAGGCCACCGTCGTGGTATAAAAAAAGTCTATTTTAAGTACCAATTAATATAGGTTCAAAAAGTGTCTGATTTGAAATACGTATATTATTAAATTGTCCATAGATACACAGTAAACCATAGATCACATAGAGAATCTCCCTGCTTTCAAATCTCTACAATGTTACTTCGTTACTATTAAAATTTGGAAGGACCACGCTTGAGTATCAATTAAAAAATAAAAAGTAGGCCTCAGAAATGAAACTGGACAACAAATGTTAGGCTTTGTAACAAAGTGTTACTTTAAATCAAGAATACAATCTAAAAAAGATAACTTTGGACAAAAGATTTATCAAATAATTATTTTAAAAAAAATCACATTGTTTTAAAAATATCACCGAAATCATGTGAAAACAAGAAAGAACGTTAATGCAATGTTAATAAAGAATTCAATTTAAATTTATATATTGCCTCCAAAAACTATAGGCTATATATTTTGAAAATATTTTCAAAAAAATGGTCAAGTGTGATCCCTCCATTACACAACACTGTATAGTGAACTTTGATGTAAATACATACAAATGTTCACTAAAGTAGCTCCTAAGTTAGTTATATTCTACATCAGCCTAATGCAAAAAGTTGGACAGGTAAAGTCCACAGATAATGAATGTACACAAACCGACAAATTGTACAATTTATTTTGACTACTAACTGGCCAACGAATTGGAAATTATAAAGAGTATTTTTGAGCTATATAATATAATTTACTTTTGAGTTAATTATGAACACTATTGTTATTAATTCTGAGTTACTTTTCGTTTAGCTCGCTATTGTGAAAATGCAATTTTGAATTGAGTTTCAATAATGTAAAATGTCTAATTGTGTTTTTTTTTAATAAAAATATTATATACAAATTATAATATGTATTGTGATGTTTTTTTTAATTGTATTTTAAATCAAAAGTAAACTACACAGCTGTCTATATCAAGAAAGAAATGCTGTTTTTATATTTCAAATACGGCTTCGTTGCAAGCTCAAATTACAAAAATAAGATTCGAAAAATGTCTAAACTATGACTTATACCTATATCTCATTCTAATACTTCTTTTTAATTAATTATATAATATTAAATTATTGTTTACGTACTACTATTTACACTCTACTAGGTACAATCAAACAACATCATCAAGTTGCTAGTTCTTTTTTTTCGTAATATTCGAAAAAGAAATTTTCTTTTTTTTAATCACATTTTCTTTTATCATACGTCAAAATATGAGATTCGCGATTGTCGTCATTTCCGGTTGTCGTCGTAATGTTGGAATGTTTATTCGTATCCGGTTCTTTATTTGAATTTTATTTTTTTTGGAATTTTTTCATTTGTATGTGGAATGGAAGTTACGTAGAGTCGTTTTTTTAATTTTTGTCGATATATCGATAGATTTATTACCATCGATAAATTTTATCGACATTTTTGTTCACATTAAGTAGCTTATTTAGATGTTAGGTACAATGCAATTTATATATAGTTAAATATGAATTTAACTATTTTTATCCAATTTTGCTATAAACGCATAGAATTTAAGCGTCATTGGGTTACTTTAAACGATTTGTATTATCTATTTAACACACACCGTATATTTTCGTCGCTGTCTTTACTGTGTCAATTATAATGCTTTCTCTTTCACTCACTGACTATCTTCACAATATAATATAAAATCACGCATGGTTTTGGACTAATGGGTAGGTAGAATACAAAAAAAACGGATTTTACCCATCCTCGGGTATTAATCCAGAACATATCTCACAGTTAGTACAAAAGAAAGAGACAAATGTATTCCTATCTCGCTTCCTCATGTCCTTACCATCATTAATTACAACCTTTGATCATTATCACTTTCATATTATTATGCTATTACAAAATTGGACTTTATACTGATAGGTATAACGTCCAAATTAGATTGAAATCCATTTGTTCTCTTTTATCTTACGAAATTGTAATTCAAAAAGCGTATACACGATAGAGTTTTTGTCTATTTTGCGCTTAAAAACACGTTTTAGTATTGAATTGCGCAAACTTGCGTAAACATGCGCAAAGATTTGCGCTAAAAAATAAATACAAAACATTTGGCATTAGATACAAAGTAGCAATCATATCGATTTGTAGTCATATTCCGAGATTTTAATACACTATTTTCCCTATACACATTTAGAGAAAATACCATCAATCAAATCAGTTGACAAAAAAACATATATTTCGTCATATTTTTCTTTCAATATTTGTAATGTTTACCTAGTGGGTTGAATACGTAGAGTCTTCATCGTCCCACTGGTGGGCTTGGGATCAGATTTGTGCCCAGCGGTCGTCAAAGAACTGTCTCATATTGTGCCCAGCCCTGCCCACTGGGCTATCATCTTCGTTGAAAACTTCACAATTGCTGAACATTAGGCGCACGTCCGATGCAAATTCTTCTTTACATTTGTAGCTGTTGAAGAGAAAAGTGTTACAATTAATATTTTTTGGAGTTTATAGTTAAAATAGTTGTAAGGTGTTATCGATTGTTGAAAAATGTTGCAGAGAAATTGCCATTTATCAAAATAAAACAATATTTTTTTATGAAAATAATACTGACTATGAGAAAGGCAATTTTCTTTCTTACTATTTTCTATGAAGTTCAATGAATCAGGAAGCTTTAATATCAGTAAAAACTGGTGAAATGTTTAATCCTAATGGAACTGTTCCGTCTAGAGACAGCAGACCCCTACTCTCACGTTATCATAAATTCATATAAGACGACTAAAGGTCTACACTGTACACCTTTAGACAGAGAGCGTTGTTGCCTGATCTATGTGTAAGAGTCTACTTAGACTGCTATCTCCAATACGCTCTACCAAGCCTGGAGATGGTGACAAATCTTCTTGTCTTGCAACCATTCCCGGGGCCCGGTCGGTGAGTTGGCGAGTCTCCGCCTGCCATTTTTACGTGTAGTAATTACATTGTTTCGGCAGGTGCCATAGTCATCCATAGTTCCCAATTTACCAGTCCACAGCAACCCATTAATAGACCTACCTTTTTTCCATTATCTACACTAACCGGGGACTGTCCTTGGGTGCATTCCCATAGTGCATACAGGGATCGCCGGTTTGTGTATCCATTACATTTATATTAAAGTTATCTAAAGGGCCTCTGCGCAGTTGACTTCGGTCCCCCGTTCGCCTCTCAAATGGCCGGGACCCTGTGGTCCCGTGAATGGTAAAGACACACATAGTAATCATACTTACGTATTATCCTGCAGTTTCTTCTTGATAGTGGAGAGGTCCATGGGGCACTTGATGACCTTCTTGTACTGCGGGAACTGCTTCGTGTTGACTGGCAGGAGGAACGGCCACGCGTGCTCGTGGCACTCCATCTCACAGAGGAGGTTCCTGGGGCCAGCAGTGATGTCAGTTATTGGTACCGATTTTGTGGTTAATTAAAATGTATAATGCCATCATAATCATCGGGAACAATTATTTTTTAAATTAAAACGTTGCCCCACACTAGAATTTTCTTCTGTGTCGTGGGTTTTGTACAAACATATAAATTCACATACTCATGACGCCCAGACCCGGAGCAACAATTTGTTTAATTTAAACAACAAGCAGCCGGCTGCCCAGCCACTGCACCAACAGTGCGGCCATAAGTTAGTCTAGACTTCGTATTATTATTGAAAATTTTCAATTATAAACAATTAAATAAATAAAACTTTATTCATAACTAGCTTCTGCCCGCGACTTCGTACGCGCAATCCCATTTCCCCCCGTTCCCGTTCGTGATTTTCGGTAAAAAGTAAAAAAAAAAGTATTCTATAAAAAGTATCCTATGTCCGTCTCCTGGTTCTAAGCTACCTCCCTGCCAATTTTCATCTAAATCGATTGAGGCGTTCTTAAGTTATAAATAGTGTAACTAACACGACTTTCTTTTATATATATAGATAACAAAAACGCAAAATTCAAAAATATGTACATATATCTAAATTACGTACAATTGACCTCAAATAGTTATAATAATGCCTGCACTAGGACAATCCTGTATCGCAGGCGAGAGGAGGTATATGTAAATATATTTTTTACAATAGCACATCTTATTTCTATAAACACAAATATTTATCAGTATGCAATAGAAAACAATATATATATAACTAGCGACCCGCCCCGGCTTCGCACGGGTGCAATATGCATGTATTATACATACAAACCTTCCTTAAGAATCACTCTATCTATTAAAAAAAACCGCATCAAAATCCGTTGCGTAGTTTTAAAGATCTAAGCATACATACGGACATACAGCGAAAGCGACTTTGTTTTATACTATGTATTGATGATTATTTTAATATACATACATGCAAACATACTTACATACAAAACATAACCTCATACAATAACTAAAACAATCCAAATTATTCTTTCCAGATCGGATCTATACTAGCTCTCTTGCTTACTAATCGCATTTGAAACTATTCAATCAACGAGGCCGTCAACAATTTGGAACTTACGCAATACATCGTAATATTATTGGCGATATTAAGTTATTATATATATTCGACGGAGAAAAATTCGCTGATTCCGAATATATATATAACTCAATATCGCCCAAAATGTCGCTTAAACCAAATAGCCCGTTACCCCTTGATATGGAATTTGTATTGCAAACAAAGAATTGGATAGTAAATTAATGGTTGGTGCTGTGGCTGGGCAACCAGCCTTCGCGCAATGTGTCCCGGGTTCGATATCCGCACGGAGCAACTCTTTGTGTGATCCACAGATTGTTGTTCCGGGTCTGGGTGTCATGTGTACGTGAACATGTATGTCTGTAAATGCACCCACGACACAGGAGAAAATCCTAATGAGGGGCAAAGTTTAAAAAAAAATACAGTCAATAGAGTGTAATATTGTGAGATTTTTGGCAAAAAGAACTTAAAAAAGTATTATATTAAATGCACCCACGACACAGGATAATCCTAGTGTGGGGCAACGTTTAGAAGTTAAATAAAAATAATTTTATCTCACTTGCAGAACTGTAGATCCTTCAGTAGTTTCTTTGCTGAATTCTTCTCTTTCTTGGCGCGAGACATTAGTGGTACATTCTCCGTGTCTCGGTCTTCTCCTAGATAAAACATATACAATGATTATTATAAGGTTAATTTACAAATACTCTGCACGACTGTCCAGTACGGATAGCTATAAATATGGTAAAAATCCGGTTATGGTTAAAAACGCGGGGGATTCAGGGATTGGGGAGACTGCACATTGGGCCTCCGGTAACCTCACTCACACGACGATATGTATGTGTGAATGTATACCAAAGTTTACCAAAATCCGTTTAGTAGTTTCAGCTTGATTGACGGATAAACATTCAAGTAAAGAAACTTTCACATTTAAAATACTAGTGTGATGACATACCGTCAATATGTGCGTCAGTGTCGTCATGTTGCAGCGCCCCGTTCCCGCCGACGTAGTGCACCGCGCGACGCTTCTCCGGGGGACCCTCCTCGGAACTCAGCTCACCTGGATACAAACAAATATTATTTTATATAGCTATCTACACAACACTTTGTTTCCTTTTTTAAATAAAACCTGGCTCTAGGACACTTTTTTTTTAAGGGGGGAAAATCATTGAATGACTGCTCCCGCCTGGGTGAGGCGGGAGGGAGTGTCAGACTCTTTACTGACTAAAAACTACCCCGTTCCTTCTCCTGCATGTCGAGCCGGAGCCCCAGTTACCCGTTAGGTTCTCCGCGACTCAGTGCCTCCCCACTAGACTTGGACCAATAATTGAAATAAATGATTTTGACTGTTTCGAATGAACTCACCAGCGTGGTTAATTCCATTCTCGTTATCCTGCAAGGTATCGTCCAGTTTGTCTTCGTGTTTCTCCGGCGTGTGTAGCGCGCTGCCGGAACATTCCTCCGCCGTTGTAGATGTCGACGCGTGGGACGCCGCCGGACTGGGGGAGAAATTAGGTTAGATTATTTGTAAATTCAGAAATAGGTCTTATTTTTCGTTTCGGATTTAACAAATCGGATAAATTCGGTTTGCATAATATATAGATCTTAGATGGCACTAGCTTCTGCAGAAGGCTTCGCATTCCCGTGAGGTAAATGACAGTAGCTTCTGCAGAAGGCTTCGCGGTCCCGTGAGGTAAATGACAGTAGCTCCTGCAGAAGGCTTCGCATTCCCTTGGGGTAAATGACAGTAGCTTCTGCAGAAGCCTTAGCGCACCCGTGGGGTAAATGACAGTAGCTTCTTCAGAAGGCTTCGCGATCCCGTAGGATAATGACAGTAGCTTCTGCAGAAGGCTCCGCGCTCCCGTGGGGTAAATGACAGTAGCTTCTGCAGAACGCTTCGCATTCCCGTGGGGTAAATGACAGTAGCTTCTGCAGAAGGCTTCGCGATCCCGTGGGATAATGACAGTAGCTTCTGCAGAAGGCTTCGCATTCCCGTGGGGTAAATGACAATAGCTTCTGCAGAAGGCTCCGCGCTCCCGTGGGGTAAATGACAGTAGCTTCTGCAGAAGGCTTCGCGATCCCGTGGGATAATGACAGTAGCTTCTGCAGAAGGCACCGCGCTCCCGTGGGGTAAATGACAGTAGCTTCTGCAGAAGGCTTCGCATTCCCGTGGGGTAAATGACAGTAGCTTCTGCAGAAGGCTTCGCGCTCCCGTGGGGTAAATGACAGTAGCTTCTGCAGATGGCTCCGCGCTCCCGTGGGGTAAATGACAGTAGCTTCTGCAGAAGGCTTCGCGCTCCCGTGGGGTAAAAAGTGGGCAATGTGTTATTCGAGACCAAAATCTATTCTTGTTCCAAATTACATCCAAATCACTTCAGCACGTTTCATAACAATTTAAGTATGTATAATGTACGTACCTAGGTACCATATTCTGGTCTATATCTAGACTAGTGTTGAGGTCTCTATGCTTGGCGTCACGCTTCTTCGTGTTGCGCGGTTTCTTCGGCGGGGCCTTGGATATACACTGCGAACAATACCATTTACCGCGGGGATTCTGTAAACACATAAATTGATATTTTAATTATAATATGACCAAAGGCCTCTTCTTACACGGAGAAAGCATTAATCACCACGCTTGCTCAATGCGGGTTGGCGGTTTCAAACTTATAATTAGAAACTATAAGCCCAGGTTTCGTCACGATGTTTTCCTTAACCGTTTGTCAGTAGTGTCTAAATAATCTTAGAGAGTATATGTAACTTGGAAAAAGTCACATTGGTGCTTGCCGTTGGTAGGTTTGGAAACCGCGCACTCGTGCATGAAAAGTGGGCGTCTTTAACTCCGGACCACCACGACACAATTATAAACTTATTTATACTTGATTTCATTTGGGAAAAAGCATGGGAAACATTTTTGTACATATATATTTCAGTCAGAACCGTTATTTACTATGCAGGTTGGAAAATTAACATTGATTTAGTACACCTGGCTTCTTGGTTGAGTGGTCGCAAATGCGATTGTTAGTCAAGCGGTCTCGTGCTCAATTCCCTGGTTGGGCAAAGAATTACTGGGTTTTTAAAAAACTATCAGTAGCGGCACGGAGTCTGGAATTATGCCCGGTATATGGCAATAGACTCCTATTACATGGGACTCATAACATAAATAGTGAAAAATGGGTGTTACGAACAGTGGTATTAAGTGCCGTAATATGCACCGCTGCGTACCCTGCGGGGATCATCACGCCTTTTGATGGTACATTACCTTGAGTAGTGGCGGGTAGTGACAGTCCTGGTGGTAGGCGCGCGCACAGAGCGCGCAGGGGATGGTGCGCGCGGCGGACTGCGCGCCGCCGCACACGATGCACACGCGCTGGCCGCGCGCCTTGTTGATGCACTCCCAGCAGTACCTGCGGCACAGGGACTTACTGCAGGTGGGGGAGCCATGCTTCGGCCAAGGAAAATCATCCAATGATTTCTCCCGCTTTAGGTTAAGCGAAAGAGTGTCTGACTGAGTGAGAGACTCTTGCTAATCAAAAACCACCCCGTTCCTACTCATGCTCTTCGAGCCGGAGCCCCGGTAAGCAGTTAGGCCTTCCGCGGCTCCGTATCGGGCATCAGCCCTACTAGCCCCCATCCGTGGTGGTGTGATGGCTCTGTGAGGCATGCGCAGAATGCATGGGTCTGGGTCTAGTCGGGCGGCGACCTACCCTTGCTCACCGACTACAGACCCGCACTTACGGTGGCCGGAGATCGTCCGAACTGTAGTATGGCTGTAGTATGACTCCGACCGAGCAGAAAACCGACGTAAAACAACGCTTGCGTTTGTGTATCGACGTATGAGTGAAATTACCAGACGCCCAGTTACCCCAAATCTCCACCATCTCTGAATCCCCAACATCCACAAATTCCTAATCTCCAAAAAGGCCGGTAAGGTGTTGCAAGTGTCCATGGCCGACGCCGATTGCTTACCATCAGATGATTCGTCTGCTCGTTTTTCGGCTTATTTCATTAAACAAGTTTAAGTTTAACTCACCAGTCTCCATCAGGTATTTCGTCCATGCTTGGTTTGAAGCAGTACGTATGGTATCCTTTGTCACAGCCGTCACACAGGAGTAACTGGTCCTCATTGTCTCCGGACTGGCAGAACTGACAGTTCTATAGGAAAGATGTTATATTTTATCATTACATTAGCTGACCCGACAAACATCGTACCACCTAAAATTTTTCTATACCTTCCCTGGACTTCCACGAACATTTCAAGACTAAAATTAGCGAAATCGGTTCATCCGTTCTCGAGGTTTAGCGAGACTAACGAACAGAAATACATTTTTATATATGTAGTTTATGAACGTTTTATATTTCATTTTGTGAAACAAGTGAATTTATTTCTGCAAATAGGCTACAAGGCAGCATTTTTACACGTCAATTTTATCAAGCGAACGATGAGGTCGACATTTCCTAACTGACTACTCTGAGGAGAAATGCCGAAACAAACTCCGTCCGGTCCGTCTCTTTTAGAGTCCAGACAATATGTATAACAGATTATGTGTGAGAACCGTTTGGAAATGTTAAATGCAGTCATATGTTATGTCATATGTTACGCCTAATCCCTGAAGGGATAGGCAGATATCTAATATACTAATGTATTATCAGTTATACTAATAGCCGTTTTCACCAACATATATGTAACGGTTAATTTAGGTGCTCACACTAAGTAACTCTTAGTTAAGTGATGGTTTAATTGCGGTTGATGACAACATCCATAAGAGTTCCATGTTATAGGACAGAGCCTCTTACACAGAGAAGGTTTAAGCATTACCTAAACGTTAAAGTTTGGCGAGTTTAGATTTAAAGCCATACCTATATAAAATTTCAATATACAAACATGTTTCAATAAAAAAAAAAATTAATCACCACGCATGCTCAAGGCGGAATAGAAATTTCAAAATTGGTTTCCAATTTCCACGATGTTTTCCTTCACCGTTATTCAGTGGAGTCTAAATATTCTTAGGAAGTACTGTCGAAGCGCCTTTTTTTTAAGGGGGGGCGGAAGGGAGTGTCAGACTATTACTGACTAAAAACCACCCCGTTCCTTCTCTTGCACGTCGAGCCGGAGCCCCGGTAACCCGTTAGGTTCTCCGCGACAGTCGAAGCGCCTACTGCTTTATAAAAGCAATTACACTCGACTGGCTAATGAAGCGAATGAGCGCACGCTAGGCGTATTTGTAATTAATATATTTGTATTATGTAACCTCTCATCAATCTGTTTTTGTCATTGTTCGGATTACAAGCTATGAATTCTACTCGACTGCTTTAAATTATTTTACCACAAGAACATACTGTCATACATGTCTTCTACAAGAACATATAACTTGCAAAAGTCACATTGTCATTTGTCAGGTTTCGAACCCTTAAAATTCTATGTATTGTTCTTATTGCTGCATCGTCTCCGGTGCTGATTAATAAATGATATTCTTTTTTTATATATATATTTTTTGTATAATAACTATCGACATACTAAGTTAATTTATTAAAAATATCGGATTACTCACATAAATATACATAGACTGTAACGAACTAAACAGTTCGAGGCCCGTGGCAAATTCATCAGATGGGCCCCCGTTCTCCATAAAAAAATACAAAGAAATTCTGATAAAAACCGTTAGGTTTTTATCAGAATGTTAATAGCTACCGTTAATAGCTACCATAGAATGTTAATAATTAATAGTTACCTATGTTAATAGGTAACATAACATCACGCCTTTTCATCCCCGAAGGGGTAGGCAGAGGTGCACATTTCAGCACTTAATACCACTGTACAATGTAACATCCACTTTTCACTATTTATGTTACGAGTCCCATGTAATAGGGGGTGAGCCTATTGCCATATACCGGGCACATTTCCAGACCCCGTGCTACTACTGAGATTTTTTTAAAACCCAGTAATACTTTGCCCGACCCGGGAATCCAACCCGAGACCCCTTGCCCGGCAGTCACACTTGCGACCACTCGGCCAACGAGGCAGCCATAAAAACCTCTACCTTTTAAATGACTGGTTGGTTATTGGAGCCGGTTAATCAGAGCGCTGAACACGGTCTCGTTTTAATTACTTTAAACATTAAACATACATAAATGGGGATTATCCGTTGGAGGCTCGTGGCATTTAGCCCTGCCTTAAAGAGTTTTTTAACAGTGGTTTAATAGTCTTGCTCATGAGCTGCGTGCGCGGTCGAGGCGACATCGCGCAAACTACTCAAGAGTCGCTCTATGACTCGAAACTAGTAGAGCTTTTCTCAATATATTTAAGTAAGTAAACCGGTATTTTTAATTAATATCAATTTTTTTCCGAAAAATGGGAAACACAATAACACTATACTTGACACAAACACACATACAAACACATAAACATTATGACAATAACGTACATGTCTGGTACGTACCGCCTTCATGATGCTCTTGTCCCAGGCTATGGCGGCTTCCAGAGCCTGCAGCATCATGGCCAGTTGTGATGACGTACTGCATCTGCTTAGAGCTTCGCGCCAGTTCGCTAGACCACGTGCTATGCCTTTGTTGTCCACTGAGGACAAATTAATATATTGTTAAATAATAAATGGTGTTTTGTAACTTAGATAATTATTATTAAACTGTCAAACACCAAGCGGTCACCGGTGACCGCAACCTATTGTTCTAAAATTGTGTCTATAATGACGGTACTTGACGAGTTAATATTAATCCACATATTTATTTAAACATAACATATCGGTATCGGCACTTAATGCCACTGTATAATGGAACACCAACATTTCACTATTTATGTTAGTCCCATGTAATAGAGGGTGAGCCTACAAAGTTCTATGGACAATAGTAAAGTCATTAAGAAGATTTCGGAATCGAACCTAAAACTTCTTGTGCAGTAGTAATTTCTCATAGATACTGGTGGACTACAACAATAACGACAGTAATATTGTCAAGAAAATATAAACTTGTAAAAGTCATAAAAAACTTTACTAAAGGACTCAAAAATTGGAAATACTTGTGTAAACACTACAAAAAAATACTTTGATTAAGTAAATGTCACAAAACTTGGCAATACTTGTGTAAATGTCACAAAAAATTGACAATATTAGTGTAAATGTCACAAAATTTGGCAATATTTGTGTAAATGTCACAAAAAATTGTCAATATTAGTGTAAATGTCACAAAATTTGGCAATACTTGTGTAAATGTCACAAAAAATTTCAACTAGTTGTGTAACCACTTCAAAAACATGACATATTAATTTATTTATTACGCTGCTTACCTTTCCCCTCGCTAGCTCCATCAGTATTCTGCGGCGACGGTGCAGACGCGTTGCCATGCTCAGCTTGCAACACAGCGCCTATTGTCGCCTCCGTTGTACTGAGACAAGGAGATAATTAGCCGTTAGATTTACTAAACAATCTTACGGCCGAAATTGATACCCAGTTCGCACTATACTAGTATTTTAGTCGAGTAGAAAGTAATTCAGTAGCTAAACTAGTTATACATAAAAAAATATATTTTATGTTTAATAAGCTCTATTCTGCCAATTAAACCCTTTCGTTTGTTGTCGTCTATAGTCAACCTATTCACTCGGGTCTTGAAGACACCAGAAAGAAAGAAAGAAAATCTTTATTTCACACGCTAAAACAGGTGACACGTACAGATTTTACACATAAGTTTATATATATCTACTAATGTCTCAAGTTTGCGGTGAAATGGGACCAGTTCAGCATGTGCAAGACAGAGCCTCGCGCTGGTATTCTACTGGCCCCTTAAGTGACCAGGGACACCCTTCAGAAAATACAGACTCTGGCAAAGAATTCCACTCCTTAGCAGTACACACAAGGAAGTTTGATGCGAAGTGCTTCGTGCGTGTATCCAATGAATTAACTAGACCCAAAGATACATACATGACAATCTAAATAAAACCGGTTTGCTATGTTTTATAATAACTATCGTGAGACATACTAAATTAAGTAAAAATGCTTAAGAGAAAAGCTCTACTAGTTTCGAACCACAAAGGGGTTCTTCCAGCGCAGCTCACTAGTAGAGCTTTTCTCAGTATATTCACGTGAGTAACCCGCGTTTTTACTTAATCTAGAGGTAAATAAAACCGTCTGAAATACTCGCTTCTGTCCCAAAATCGAAGCGAGAGAGAGATACTAAACATTCGCTATTCGACGAGTTAAATACTAGCGTAGTGAGAACAAGGCGTTGTAGCCAATTTAAATCCAAAATCTTTGAATTAAGGTCGATATTTGACATAACATGTAGGGAGTTTCTGTCAAAAACAGTCCATTTTTTGAGATAGATTGGCAAATGAGCAGACTGATCACTTGACAAGCAATCGGGGCCGCCCATGGACACTTTTTTTTAAGGGGGGAAAATCATCGAATGACTGCTCCCGCCTGGGTGAGGCGGGAGGGAGTGTCAGACTCTTACTGACTAAAAACCACCCTGTTCCTTCTCCTGCACGTCGAACCGGAGCCCCGGTTACCCGTTAGGTTCTCCGCGACGCCCATGGACACAAGGGGAGTTTTAAGTGTGTTTTTGGGGATTAGGGATTTAAAGATTGAGGAGGGGAGGGGAGGAAATATCCAGAGATTTTGAATTAAGATCGTTTATTCATTTCGGCCGTAAGTGTATTACTGTTTAATTTAAAGTTGCCATCAACTTATCTGTGTTTTATGAGTTGTTACAAATTTAGATGACGTCATATTCTAGGATTACTGAAGGAGTACTCATACTAAAGGCCGATTTTTCCAACGCCAGATAAATTTTAACTGAGGAATAACTTTGAATATTTGATATTTCTTCCATACTTTTTTTGAGGTGGAAAATCATCCAGTGACTTCTCCCGTCCGGATGAGGCGAGGAGTGTCAGACCCTTACTGACTAAAAACTACCCCGTTCCTTCTCTTGCACTTCGAGACGGAGCCCCGGCAACCCATTAAGGCCTTCGCGGATACAATACGGTAGTTGACAGTTTGACAGGTAGTCAAATTCAATACTTTTATTGAAATGTCAAGAACGATACTTTTCTATGAATTTTGTATTGGATCGCAACTTATGACGTCATCATATTTCTGCGTCAAATAGCATATATATTCCTTAAAATTAGCGACAAAAATCCAAAAGTAGGTAAATTGTCCAATCAATGGATGAGAGTATGATTATTTTTTAATTATTTATTGCATTGAAAAGTCGAAACAATTTATTTTCAACTTAGGAAACAACCCCATACTAAAAACTGTCAAATATCAATTGTATTCTACGGTTAAAAATTAACTGATGATTGCGAAATCGGCCCTAATTGTGATTCATAGTTAGAGAGATGACGACCAAAATTTTTGTCTCATAGCAATACGGCCAAAACCGCCTCAAATCGATAGATACGATTATCCTGAACTCGAAAATATCAATATCAGACATTTTCCGCGTAGCGTTTGATCTGACCACAAAAACACCAGACAAAAAAATTCTCATAGCAATACGTCTGAAAACCTTTTTTATTAGTAAATTTTAGTTATTTGATGCGAACAAAACAATTTTCAGACGGAAATGTGAACGTATTAAATATTGAGACCGTTTTGAAAATGTTAACAAATTTTACCGATCGGTATCATGGCAATATGTCTGAAAATTGTTGGACATGATAAAATAAGTTGTCCACATGTGCAAAAAATGTATATCAGACAAAATAAGTGTAGCACCTTCTCTATCAGACAACTTTTCGATACTCAGATATTTTTGACACAGCTGAAATGGCCTCCCACGCAGTTGCTACACTTTCGACCGTTACTACACACCTAGTCGGGTTCAGAATCATACAATCTAACGATTTTATAGGGTTTTGCCTATGAGACATGGTTTTAGTCGTCATCTCTCGTACTATCAGGGATTCAATAGCGTCCCTTTACGGTTCAGAAAAGTTACAACTGCCCTGTATAAATAAGTTGATGGCATTTTAATAAAAGTTCCAACACATCTCGTGTCTTTTTGTATCATGATCATTGTTATTAATTTTGAAACAATTATAAAACATTGAAATCTTTCATAGACGATAATTTCGAGACACGTAATAATTTGGATTCAATTTAGAATAAATTTTGAAAACAAATAGAACAGTAATCAGCCAATTATTAATAAAAAAAATAAAAAAATAATTTTGAAAGCCAAATCATCCAATTCATGCGTGCGTTGTGTAAATCCAAATGTCCAACACCAAACAAGTATAATTATCATCAAATATCTATTAATGTTTAAAACAACCTTTTTTTCAAACGTTGACCCACACTAGGATTTTCTCCTGTGTCGTGGGTGCGTTTACAAACATACAAGTTCATATACACATGACGCCCAGACCCGGAGCAACCATCTGTGGATCACACAAACAGTTGTTCCATGTGGGAATCAAAACCGCCACACGTTGCGTTGAAATACAGCCGAAACCGTAATTAAATTATTATTATTATCACTTCTTTGTTATAACCCGTCACCGTCCCGTGCAAACAAACAAAGCAATGAGGGTTTTCTCGTGTCGATAGGGGCGCTAGTGTAGCGTAAAGTCTAGAGGGTACGAGTTGGTTTTATGTTTAAAGTAATCGAAACGAGACCATGTGACCGAGGTGCTCTGATTGGTCGGTTCATTGAAGCCTGCCAATTAGTGCCCCGAACGCGGTCCCGTTTCGATTGCTTTAATTAAACGTAAAATAAATTCTTACTAAGTACTCAGAATAACTATTAGTGTCTTAAACATATGTGTGCGTCAGCACTGAATGCGTGCGCAGACCACACAACCGTTGCTCACGAATAAATTAGTGTGTTGTGAGCGAGTGGTTTCACTTGCGTCCACATATCGACACAACAATTAGTCAAGTCATTTTGGTTAGTTAATTTTGATAGGAAAGGTTTTTTTGTTAATAGGCACTTTCCAACGTTAATTTTTAGCCTTAGAGTATTTAAATACTCTGAGTTATAAGCTTCATCATAATACAAAAACTGTAAAACTTTATCGTTACTTTTTCAAAAACTTGTGATATACAATAGGTATTTTCGAGTTGATTTCAATAAGATAAGCTACTCCATATTATTATTTGCATAAATAAAGTATCGTTCATGATACACAAAATCATATTTTAAAAACATATCCATATCAGTTTAAAAAAACACCTATCTAATAACTCTAAAAATACCATTTCCACCACCAGCGCCACCTACAACCGCGAGAAACCGCCACAACTCACCTTAAAGACCAAAAAAGCGTTCTAAGACACGAGTATGTGATGGGTATACTTTACCTAGCGTACCTTTGGACGAACGGGGGCTTCAGGTACCTCCGCTCTATATGAGCTTCTAGTGCCTGCAACTTGTGCTTGGCGCGTGGAACAGGTTCTGTCGGAGCTCCGTCAGAGCCAGCGCGACCTGGTCTCCAACCCTTTACCTGCATTGATGCCGCTGCTACTCGCTCTTCTAGTTCTTCCACCTGAATATGGAATATGGGATTTTATTTATTGGGAGTGGTTAGCGTGTTTAGAGACTTAGAAAGAGATTTAGTTTCTATACAAAATTAAATCATCAACGGCCTATAAATGTCCACTGCTGTGCAAAGCCTCTTCTGATACGGACAAGGTTTGAGCATTAATCACCACGCTTGCTCGTGGGTTGGCGATTTCAAACTTATAATTACAAATTATAAGCCTAGGGTTCCTCACGATGTCTTCCTTCGCCGTTTGTCAGTTGTGACTAAATAATCTTAGAAAGTACATATAACAAGAGTTACATATAACTCGGAAAAAGTCACATTGGTAGTTATCGTTGGTAGGTTTTGAACCCTCATACATTAGAAGCAGGACCTCCGGGTCGCCACGGCATTCAAAATTATATTCTTTCATAAACTGCTCTCAAAAAAAACCAGCTTCAACCCCTTCTTTTTTATATACTTTATATACATAAACAGTCTCCTAAACGTCATTTTTCAGAAAACCGCATTAATATCGGCTCAGCCAATCGCGAGACAATCGCGCACAAATACAAACAGGTGATACTGAAGACCTTTGTAACGGAATATCACCCTCACAGATAATACCATACGTAGGGTAATTTAAACTTTTATGTGTACCTACAATATATTAATAAATGAACCAGGTTTTGTATATCATCAACAGCCTATAAATGCCCACTGCTGAGCAAAGCCTCTTCTCACACGGAGAAGGTTTGAGCATTACTCACCACGCTTGCTCAATGCGCGTTGGTGATAACAAACTTATAATTGGAAATTATAAGATTTTATATATAAAGCACCGTATTTTCGAAATACATTACATTCTATACTTAACCAGCATTTGAGTATTATTTCATACTCTTCGTACCTCACACATTCTTTTGTGAAGTTTGTTAAAAATAATTTTACACAAAATAATTATAAAAGTTCTTACCATATTAAGCAATTGCATGTCTATTCTCCGTTGTATGATCGGTGAGAAGTCTGTGTCTGTCGCGAACCCACCGTTCATTGCTATAACTCTGTCTAGATGGGACAAGCTCAGCTCTGTCGCTGTTAGGTCGCCCTTGTCTAGGTATGGCTGTGGACAAAAATATTATAAGTAATAACTAGGTAATTAAGTGTGGAAAAACTATGCTTTTTAACGGAATCGGATACAAACGGTGAGTGCCGCTAATGGAAATTCGTAACATCAGAGGGGGTTAGGAATTTTAAGAATGTTGAGGATTCAGGGATTGAGAAGATTGGGGAAGGGGAGGGGGGTAGTTGGACCTCCTCCTCCTTTTTAAGTGAAAAGTGTTACAATAATTACCGTATTGTTAACGACGGGTAGATGTGACGAGAGCGCTGCATGTAGCTCTCGTTCCCTGACTCCTCGAGGATGCAGAGCGTCCATTAGATCACGGAGCTGGTCTGGTTCCGTAATACGCCACCAGCCGTATCTGGAGAGAAGAGCAGTTTAATATAAATCTTATATCTTATACTATTATATAAAGCGGAAGAGTTTGTTTTTTGTTTGTTTGTTTGAACGCGCTAATCTCCATAACTACAAGTCTGATTTGAATAATTATTTTTGTGTTGGATAGCGCATTCATCGAGGATGGCTATAAACTATAAAACTTTACGCTACGATCAATAGGAGCTGAGCAGAGCGTGTGAAACCGTGCGGAAGTAGCTAGTAAATTGATAAAGCTTGTTAAAACGAAATACCAATATAGTTGTGTGTGAAAGTGCCATGGAGCAAAGACGTTAAATAATATTTTATTCCAGTAAAACTGTTTTTTTTTTAAGAGGGTTATCATCGATTGACTGCTCCCGCCTGGTTGAGGCGGGAGGGAGTGTCAGACTCTTACTGACTAAAATCCACCCCGTTCCTTCTCCTGCACGTCGAGCCGGAGCCCCGGTTACCCGTTAGGTTCTCCGCGACAGTAAAACTGCTTACTGCTACAATTTCACTGTACTGAATTGTTCTATAATTGTAATACCACAATATCTCGACTGCACCGTTGTGGCGGTGGCTAGGCAGCCGGTTGCCGCACAACGTGTCACGGTTTCGATTCCCGCACGGAGCAACTCTTTGTGTGATCCACAAATTGTTGTTCCAAGTCTGGTGGTCATGTGTATGTGAACTTGTATGTTTGTAAACGCACACACAATACGGGAGAAACTCCTAGTGTGGAGCAACGATTTTTTAAGGACATTAAAATAAAAAAAGGAGTTTACTCGAACAGATATCGAATTCTTAAGATTGTACACCAAAAACACAGTTAATTAATTAGAAAATTAACAACACTTTCTTAAGTTCTTTTTGCCATAAATCTAACAATATTACACTCTATCGACTGTAAAAAACATGAAACAAAAGTAGTATATTAAGATCGATGTCTTAAAGCAAAAGTAGGCATTCCTCTATCTATTATGATTTTCTTGTCTAACACTGTTTTAAGCCAAGGATATACTGTGGCATACTCACACAATCGGCAGACTTCGCTTGAAGTGTGGGAGAGCCATGCTGCGGTACCAACTTCCAATGGGCCGGGGCTCGACCGTAGTGATACCACGGCCGAACAGGAAACTGACGTGAAGCAACGATTGCGTTGTTTCGTCGTGTGAGTGTTGTTACCGGAGGCCCACTATCCCCCCCCTTCCCCAATCCCCGAATCCCCAACAATCCTCGAGTCTTTCTAAAACCCTAGTGTATCCTCGGCTTTAAGTACTATAACTGTATGGAATTTATTTTCAATTTGAAACTCACCTCAATTCCCTGGGTACATAATTCCCCTCAATTTTCTTGGGTAGCCCATGGACTTTACAGTATTCCAACTGGTCTAATTCTTCAGCAGACATTTGTATGGGGGGCGGACTATCACAAGTTACGTATGTGGATAACGCGTTGAAGTTCAGCAGACCGAGACTATTCAGGCTGTTGGCTTTAGCCTTCTGAGTTAGAAGATCCTGCTTTAAAGCATCTGCTTGTAATTCTTTTTCTAAGTCGTTGTCCTGCGAAAAGAAAATGAGTTTGTTAACAAAAAAACATAACATCACGCCTTTTATCCCCGAAGGGGTAGGCAGAGGCGCTATTACAGCACTTAATGCCACTGTACAATGTAACACCCACTTTTCACTATCTATGTTATGAGTCCCATGTAATAGGGGGTCAGCCTATTGTCATAGACCAGGCACAATTCCAGACTGCTGCTATGCTACTACTGAGATTTAAAAAAAACGCAGTAATACTTAGCCATACCCGGGAATTGAACTCGAGAACCCTTGTCCAACAATCGCACATGCGACCACTCGGCCAATGAGGTAGATGAAGGCGAATCACTACTATTTTTTTTTTAAGAAGGCTTACAGACTTATCCATAGAAAATGATTTTATAAGAGTATAATATTGACAAATTGCTAATTACAAGCCTCCACATATGGACATCCAAAATAGCTTAAAACTAACTAACCTGTTCCTTGCTATCCTCTTCAATTTCGGTCTCTTGCACGCTGCCATCTTTGTTAAAGCTATTGTCAATCATATCCTGGTCTAAACCAGACATTGTCAAACTAGAGTCTGCATAAATATTATTCGCTGGCACTTGGACACTGGTCACCATACTGTTCAAAGTAAATAGACTCGGGTCGTTCAACAAATGCAAGTTATTTGATACATCCCACTTATGACCTTGACATAATATTATTTCAGAACATGTATGCTCATTGTCGCAGAACTCTGGCAAGTCCTGCTTTTCGTCATTTATGTTGTTCAAAAATGAACTCTCGTGTCTGAGGATTGAGAACCATTTTCCATCTAGCATCTTCGAGTATAATTGTATATGTGCTGTAGAAGGATCATGGGTCTCTTTCTTCACTTTTTCTTTTTCTTCTTTTATCTCTTGCTCTTTTTTCGCAGCGTCGAGTTGTATAGATACAGCTTCGGCCATCTTTCTCAATTCTTCTAAGTTGTTTACTAAAGAGTCTTTGGATTCTTCTGCGTTCTCATTCTCATTTTCATTTTTGACTACGTTCTCTACTTTGACGATTTCTTGTGGTTTGTCCATTTGTTCGGCTTGGGTGGCGAACATTGGTTTGTGGGTGGGTTTTTGCACTAAAAACGCTGTTGGGATGGAGTCCTCTATATCCAACATGTCTTGTTCATCGTTATTCTTCTGTTGAATGTATTTTTCTTCCATTTTTATTGATGAGCCTGGTGGGAGAAGAAATGAGATTAGTTAGGCCTTTGACTACCAATAGAAAACTGATGAAGGCAAAACTTCCGTTAACGCGCGGCGTTTAATGTGTTAAAGAGATTTTTAGTTGTTTATATTTTGGAAATGAATTTGGTACGTATGCAATAAAATTGATTGTACATTTAGAATTTACAGTTTCGAGTTATAAAGACAAAAAACATCAAAGCAGGTATTGAATATTTTGACTTCTAGAAGTAACTTTATCAGTTGACTTCAAAAAGTTATTAGCAACAATACAATCAATGTATTAAATCAATTAAATAAGCTTCCAGTCCATTTCCACAACATAAAACAGTTCAACAAAAAAAAAAGAACTTTAAACTTGATATTGTATTATTTTTAATATAAAAAGAATGATCCATAAAACATTACAACACAGTCACAACAAACAGCAGCATTTTCGAGCTCCAAACTAAAAAAAAAATACTATTATTTCTACCTACCTTCAACTTTACAAGCACCATGTTTGACATTCGGCTCATATTTAATAATCTGTGTGTGATCACTCAGGTTCAATTCTGATTTGATGCTCTTCAACTCCATCTCACTCTTGAGAGCTTCTTCCTTCTTCTGCGCTTCTGTCTCTGGGTCTCGCTTCTCTGATTCAGACGATGGTGATTCTTTCTTTTCTCGAGGACCTGTGTTGGTAAACGTAGATTTTTAATAAAGTATCATCTTATATCTTATACTATTCTATAAAGCGGAAGAGTTTGTTTTTTTGTTTGTTTGTTTGAACGCGCTAATCTCCGTAACTACAAGTCTGATTTGAATAATTCTTTATGTGTTGGATAGCGCATTTATCGAGGATGGATATAGGCTATAAAACTTCACGCTACGACCAATAGTAGAGATAGAGCTGAGCAGAGCGTGTAAAACCGCGCAGAAGTAGCTGGTTTGCTATACATGTTGTACAAGAATTGTAATGGTTACGTATTGTGTTTTATTTTATAATTTAAACTTATTTTAAAGTGAATAATTTTAATCTAAACTCGTCTATAAGCAAAATAGAACCGTCAATATTATTATAAATGTAAATCCATAGACAGTACACTTGGTGCCTTTACTAATGGCAATTTTAATAATATCCATTATTAAAACTTTTTTGCGCTTATTCTAAATAATACTTGCGCAAATTCTATCACATTTGCGCAATCCACAAGCGCAAAATACCAGTGGCGTGCAGTCCATATAGGCAAAAAGGCTTTGCCTACCTTACAAATACCGTGAATAACACTACGTAATAAAAGATATAAACATTTTAATTTTACTACAGAATACTAAAATAATAATTATAATAAAATTAGTGAACGCCTAAAATAAATAGTATAGCAACAATGATGGCGCGCGATACGTGTTGCATTTCGCCAGGCGTACCGTATATAGCTGTAAACATTAACGCGCGAGGCAGGCACGCGGTTCCGTCGCCTGCAAACCATTCATAAATTTAAGCGTGTAGTGGTGAACGACATTGTGTGCGTAGTGCACAGACGCGTTTATTTTATCGTCGCGAAGCTTGCCTGCAGGCACAGCCTGACGACTCGTGACTGAAGTTCGCCGCGAGCCGACCAATCACGTTCCGTGTCTTGGTTTACTCATTGGTCGCCTCGCAGCGAACTTCACGCCGCTCGCGCGTGACAATTTTTTTGTTTTTGTTTACGTGCGATGCGTGGATTTTCGGATAATTTTGTTATTTGATTTAGAATACGATTAGTAATTCTACGCAAATAATTTGTAGTAAACGGTATAAAATTGTCTATTTATATAAGTACATTTTATTACTGTGTTTGTTTATTTGTTAATTGATTTTGCAAAGTTATACGAAGAACTGTGAAGTTTGTATTGACAAAAGTTGGTAAAGAATTATAAACTATCGCAGACCATCGCTTAGTGATTAGATTGTGTGTGAGTTTTTCTTCTGATAGTCTTGTCTTGGTAAGTTCTATGAAAGTTACTTTATTTTAATGTGATTAGGTTATGTAACATAAGTAGGTACCTACGCGGAGCTTCCCGTCGCGGCAACTCAGTCAGTAAAAATAACGAAGCTTTAAGTAATATGTTATGTACTAATTATAAAATGAAATGAAGAAGAATAAGCTAGGTAAATGAATGTTTAATAATACTAAAAAATGTACTACCGCTTACTCGGCTCGGCCGCAGCCGGCCGCGCTCGGTTCGATTTTTCTATTAGTCATACCCAAGTTCTTAAAATCATAATATCTCTTGAATAGATGAACCAAACTTATTAATTCGAAGAATTAAATTAAAAGAGTAAAGAATTCGTAATATTCTTGTATTAAACGTGAGAAGGCTGGACAGGCCGCCAGTTCAGTACAATTTTTAGAATGAACAATTCGTTACTGCTACTGAATTGATAACATAAATTAGATTAATCGTTATACAGCACCTCGAGTAGGTAATTATGCAGATTAGTTATACAAATCTAAAGAGAAAAATAGAATATTAATGTTTTTAACTTGTTAGAGTAATCAATAAGTTGATGTAATACTTCACGAAAACCACGAGAGATGGCACTGTTACAAAGAATTGACGAAAGATTAAAAACCTCATAAGTTGAATTATGTTATGTATTTACGATGAGTTTAATCATAATACAATATTATGTTGCCTACCCTGTTCTAAAACCCTGTGCACGCCACTGCAAAATACATACAGCTCTACATTGAAAAACATATCCTATTGAAACTTCGCTATTACGTTCTTCGTCCTACTATCAAAACATACGAAACAAATCAAAACAATCTATTGCATCTCATCGAGCGTTGACCATATTACCAATCTGGATCATAATTGATCGCGTGAGATCCTCGACGAACGTTGATGACATACCTTGGCAACTATTACTATTGTATTGCTTCAGAAGTTTTTCTACATTTGCAGATAGATTGACAATTTGTGAACCAAGGTCTGCATTATCGCTCACTAACTTTTCCAATAACCTACCATCCACAGTAATTGGATTAACTCTCTCTCTGTTGTCGTTTTTTTACTCTGATCGTTCTTAATTTGAGTTTTTGTTCGTTTTCGTGTACACATAAAACCTAGTCCAGTTCCTCGTCAAGCAATTACGTGAGTAGGCCGAAAACATAATTAATTCACACAAGAACTCTTAGGGGTGTTCCAGATAGTGTGTGTCTTGTGAAAGTTGATAAGTCAACTTTTTTCTCAATCCCAATCTTCATCTAACTCACCTTTCTTCTTCTTCTTGTTCCCATCAGTGGTTGTGTTCCCAGTGAGTGCGTTGGTCTCCAAGTGTTGGTGGTACGCCATGATCTCAGGCTGGGCAGACTCCATGCCCTCCACGAAGATACCGCCGCACTGACCCAACGACCAGTAGCGACGCCAGTATCTACGGACAAAAGTTCAGGTAGATTAGTTTAGTATTTCTTTTATCACATAACATAACATAACATCACGCCTTTTTATCCCCGAAGGGGTAGGCAGAGGTGCACATTTCGGCACTTAATGCCACTGCACGATGTAACACCCACTTTTCACTATTTATGTTATGAGTCCCATGTAACAGGGGGTGAGCCTATTGCCATATACCGGGCACAATTCCAGACTCCGTGCTCCTACTGACAATTAAAAAAAACCAGTGATACATTAACCCGGAAATCGAACCCGAGACCTCAAGCCAGGCAGTTGCAGTTGCGACCACTCGGCCAACGAGGCAGTCCGTTTATAGTATTTCTGTAAATACATTATTTAATGTTTCCCTCACCTGTCCTGTCCGTAGCAGGTAGCTCGGAGCGCGTGTGAAGCTGCAGTGAGCTGTAGCTGTTGTTGCTCGGACTGCTTCAGTAGCTTGTCCAGCTTGCGAGCTAGTTCCTCAGACGATAGGTTCTTGTCTTCATCCTGGGGGGAGAGGGGATGTTAGGATGGTATTGCACGATTACGAAACTTGTTTTTTGAGTGGGTTTAATCATCGATTGTCTTCTCCCGCCCAGGTTAGGCGAGAGAGAATATCAGACTCTTACTGACTAAAAAACACCCCGTTCCTTCTCCTCACTTCGAGCCGGAGCCCCGGCAACCCGTTAGGCCTTCCACGGCTACATATCCAGGCCACAGCCTTACTGAATAGGTTATGAAAGCTAAAAGTTAATTATGTATCAACTAGCGACCCGCCCCGGCTTCGCACGGGTGCAATGTGCATTTATTATACATATAAACCTTCCTTAATAGATATGAAGTAAGTAGGTTGTTCCTTGTCTATGGTCCACAGATAATATTGGATATTAAGTATTTTAAGATTTCAGTAAAATAAAAAGTCTGTGGACCATGGACAAGACTTCATTCTTCATTTTTAATTTTTTTAGCTTTTATTTCATTTTATTTTTGTTTTTTAATTATGTCATGGGTGTATTAAAAAACTGCATCAAAATCCGTTGCGTAGTTCTAAAGGTCTAAGCATACATAGGGACAGACAGACGGCGGATAGGGATTTTGTTTTATATTATGTAGTGCTAGGTTGGATAATCGATTTCGTTTTAGTACAAACTGTTGTAGGTTCGAAATTCCTTATTTTTTAAAAACTTGTGTGATGGTACTATGAATTTGTCTTGGGCCGTGACACATCACAACCCAGTCAGGGGGGCTTACTCTTGAATACAATCCTGATCGATTGACATTGATGTTGAGTGAAATTTCGTACTCTTGAATTCCAACACTAGCGCCCATTGCATCCGTATTGCGCGGATATAATGAACTAAATAGTACTGAGTTTGGATTTATATTCCGTACTCTGAATGCTATTTTAACAGCTACGATAGGGGTTGTATACTTATAGTTTTGACATTGAATAATTATTGAGATTTTATTGGATTGTAATTACATTGACATTGAGATTGGTTTGAAGAGTAAGCACGCAGGAGTAACAATAATAATGAGTGGTGTCGTTTGGCAATCGAACCCGCTACTCGTTAGATGGTAGCCGTTTGCCCAGACACCATGCCAACCATTGTCATCGTGCAAATAGTTACGGATCTTAAATATGAATACCAAGCACATCAAGCTACTCAACCGCAATTTTCAACCTTATTACTCTGAATTAAAGTTCAAAATCTTGATATAAAACTCACCTCTTCAGGTCGCGTGCCTTCACTCTCCAAATCACTCAAATTAGCATCACAATCCCCAATCATACTATCCTTGTCCATCTTCGAGTTGTCGGCCGGGGAACATTCGTCCTTATTGTTATTCATTATTTCTTTGTTCTTCATACTGTTGGAGAGGTCCTTTAAGGGCGATAATTCCTTGTCACTCTCCTCAATAGGGGGTGGTTCTTTATAGGGAGATGGTTCGGATTGTTTGTCTGTCTCGCTCTCTGGGTGTGGAGAGGATTCTTTGTCCTTTTTCGGTGTTTCTTCCTTTTCTGAAGTTTGTTGGTTTTCTGGAAAGAGGTGGATGGTTAGGAAATAGAGTTGATATGTTAAGTGGTGTTTTTTTGATATTCTGGAGGAAGATCAGGTGTTGGAGGTTTTTCATTCTCCTTAGGTATGGAGTCTCGGAAGGTGAAAACTGATGAGATGAAACCTTATGAGAAGTAAATATGACAAATGACAAGTAAAAGATAGGTTTTTAATTCATTGTTACACTACATATAAAATTATGAAGGGATTAAACAAAATCTAGAATTTTATTCTAGTTACATTATTTCATCTACTTGCTCCATACAGTAAATGAAAACGTCTTGATTTCATATAAAACTTCAAAAAATGCTATAAAGCCCGCCGGTGGCCTAATTACCCTCCCCTTCCCCAATCTCCCCAATCTCTGAATCCCCAACGATCCTCAAACTCCTAATCCCCAAAAGGCCGGTAACGCATTTGAAACGCCTCGGTGTTTCAGGTGTCCATGAGCGAAGCCGATTGCTTACCATCAGGTGATCCATCCGCTCGTTTACCGGCTTATGCCATAAAAAAATAAAGCTACTGTTGATTCTCAGTAGAGTCAGCATTTATAAAGGAAACTAGACGACTTTTTATCAATGTTATACGCATGTCTTTTAGACACCATTATTATTATTTGTGTTTTAATTAGTTGGCTTGTGTTGGTTATGTGTAATCTGTCAAATAGTTTATTCTTTCTTTCACACCATCATCATGTAGCGGTGGAGTATTGGTCCTGGTGGAGTCATCGACCAGTCTCTGCATCCGCTCGAGTGCGAGTGCCTGCGACCTCTCTGCCTGCTCCGCGCGCGCCTTGCGGGCTTGGAGGACGCGGACCCTGGGGAAAGAAGGGTTATTTTAATATATACATATATAATGATGATCAAGATACTAGAATTAAGTGTGAGCGACCAATGCTTCAGCTCGGCACTGCTCGGTTGGCTAGACCGGAACTCAAAAAAAACTGAAGTACATATAACTCGGAAAAGTCACTTGCCGTTGGTAGGTTACGAACCCGCACTCTCATGCATGACGTTTTGCGTTTTAACCTGCGTGCCACCAAGGAGACCCAATTACCCTTTCCTTCCCCAATCTCCCCAATTCCTGAATCCCCAACGATCCTCAAACTCCTAATCCCCAAAAGGCCCATAACGTACTTGTAACGCCTCTGATGTTCCCGGTGTCCATGGGCGACGCCGATTGCTTACCATCAGGTGATCCGTCTGCTCGTTTACCGGCTTATGCCATAAAAAAATTAATGGAAAACATCGTGAGAAAACATGGGCTTATAATTACTAATTATAAGTTTGAAATCGCCAACCGATGAGCAAGCGTGGTGATTAATGCCCAAACCCTCTCCGTGTGAGATGAAGCTTTGCTCAGCAGTGGGTATATATAGGCTGTTGATGATGACGATGATGATGACTTACTTCCGAATTTTCATATCCATAAGGTATCGTTCTTTCCGCAGTTGTGTGAGATGTTCCAGCGACGAGTCTATCTTACTCAGCACCTTCTTGTTCTGCAGCAGCTCGTCGCATATGTACGCGAATATGCGCGCTTTAGTGCTCGCGCTTAGCGCTGCGTACGATTTGTCGCGTAATTCCTCTGATGGAGAATAAAATTGGAAAATTAATGTTTTTTAAAACTGCCTGTTTTTTTTCTCGAAGCCGTAGACAAAGGTGCATATAATGCCACATATATACAACTAGCTGCCGCGACTTCGTTCGCGTGGAATTGTGATTCACAGCTCCTCCCCCGTAGATGATAGTGCAATAATATGTAGCCTATATGTTGACCCGACCTATTAGTATTATTTCATGCAAAATTTGAAGTAAATCCATGCAGTACTTTTGGAGATCATCCCGGACATACATACAGACAAACAGACAAAAATTCTAAAAACCATATTTTTGGCTTCGATATCGATGATCACGCCTCAAGTATTCTTTTAAAAGATTATCAATGTATTGTTTTGACTTTTTTACGATTTTATTATGGAATGGAACACTTCCACCGCTTTCCAAACTTCTACGACGTGTTTGACAAGTTAAAAGCCATTGGGAGCAAAACTGACCGGAAGAATTTTCTTTGACATTTTGTTTTTGGCAAAGGGTTGAAAAATTAATATATTTTATATATTTAACATCACGCCTTTTATCCCCGAAGGGGTAGACAGAGGTGCACATTATGCCACTGTACAATGTAACACCCACTTATTTTCACTATTTATGTTAAGAGTCCCATGTAATAGGGGGTGAGCCTATTGCCACGTGTAAAATAATAAATCTATAACTTACCGGACAGTTTGTAAGTAGGATTATTGTGTAGGTGCTCATAGTAGGCGGAGTTCTTAGAGTTTGCGCAAGTATGCTGCATCTCCGCTTCCGTTTGATGATGGTCGGCTACACGGCGCTCTCTTTCTCGCTCTGCCGTTAAACCTATGAGAAAAAATAGGTTTTTATAAGTAACTAGCTTATAACCGGGATTACTGCGATTGAAAGGTATTATAGTACTTACCTAATTTCAATTTAGTTTAAATAAAATACAGAATTGAGATATTTGTATGGAAATTTCTGTGACTCGATTCTTCTACTCTCCAATCTCCTCAATTTTCAAGAACTTAATCCTCAAATCCCTATCCCCATAATGCTGGCAACGCACTTGTAATTTCTCTTATGTTGTGGGCTTGTGTTGGTACTGATCGCTTGCCGTGGTGATCCGTGTGCTCATTTGCCCCCTCATTCTACGATTCTTTGTTCTAGCTTTTGCCAACGACTTTACTCAAATCAATCAAACAATCATATACAATCGAGTAGTTCAAATATATTGTTTCTTTACATTTTACACTAAATGCTACAAAATAATTTTAACAATATCTAAATAAAATTACATAATTATGAGCTCCAGTATGGTCCGAAACTAATCGGGCATCCTCGAATACATGAATAAAAGAGTACTTTTTTTATTTAAATAAACAGTAATATTTTACCTGTCAAAGCCTTGACTTCCCCAGTAGCGTTGGCGTATAGATATATCCGGAGTATTTCACTAAAGTTCTGGTGTGTGACCTCGCTCATACGTATGGCGTGGCCTAGTAACGTCGTGTGTCTACCTGGGTGTGGGACACCCGGGTCCTCTGTGGAATGGAAAGAATTGTTAAAGTTTTGTGAGGGATAAAGAAAAGTTCTATTATTAAGTTCTATTTTTAACTTGTGGAGTTATGGTGCATTATAATTTTTGAGTACCGACCCTTTGAGTACCGTCATTATAGACACAATTAAAGAACAATAGGTTGCGGTCACCGGTGTACTCGTGGTGTTTTACAGTTTAAATGGTTGGTATTATACAATATTTTATGACACTACATACCCACGGCAACGATGAGCAGTTGTGACACAACTTGAATGAATTCTTCCTCGGTCTCCTCGCTGCAGTCGCCGAGGATACCCATTTGTAACGTGTTCAGGGTCGGCATGGTTTCCATGTCTGAAACAAATACATAGTATTTAGTTATCTCTCACAAAAGGATAGGTATATTATGTAGCACCGACGGCATGTAAGGGTGGTCTCACAGTCATCAGACCACTTTTTTTTTCAATTTCAAATTATAAGATAGTCTCGGGCCTTGAGCAACTTAATGCTCAGTCCTCCATATTAGAAGAGGTTTTTTTCTCGGCATTTATAAACTGATGATGAAATAGAAAAATTGGTTTTATATACACAACATCACGCCTTTTATCCCCGAAGGGGTAGGCAGAGGTGCATATTACGGCACTTAATACCACTGTACAATGTAACAACCACTTTTCACTTTTTATGTTATTAGCCCCATGGCCCCATGTAATAGACCTAGGTGGACCTATTGCCATATACCGGGCACATTTCCAGACTCCGTGCTACTACTGAGATTTTTTTAAAAGACCCAGTAATACTTTGCCCGATTTGGGAATCAAACCCGAGACCCCTTGCCCGGCAGTCGCACTTGCGACCACTCGGCCAATGAGCTAGTCAAAAAAGTAGTTTTATTACCGTAATAAGGAACTTACCAAACCCGAGTGCCTCTCCGAAGTTGTACAAGAACTCGTAGGCCTGTAATAAGTCCGCCATGGCCTGCGCGGGGAGCTTCAGGCCGGGTATACGATGTAGTGTCGGGAGTGGCTTCTGGTCGGATAGTGAGGAGTCTTCTTGTGGCCGCCTGGAGGATTGAAATGTTACTTTTTAAGTTGTAGAGAAGTGACTAAGTATTAACCTCTGGTATGAGCGCAGACCTAAGCAAGACGCTATTCATTTATTTATTTATAGTCACAACGGTTGAAAACAAAAACCAATTAGAGTAACTGGACACATTAATAAAATAAACGATGAAATAATTAAACTAGAACAAAACATACACAACGAACAAGAAGAGTAAAACTTATAAAAAAAACTTATTTAAAAAATGGTAGCATTCATAAGTTCCTCTCGCAGTACTTCAGGCATTCCGATAAAATCTCCTTCCATCCGTCCGCAAACAGATCACTAGTTGGATTGGAATCCAAGAGACCATTGAGCGCGGCCAGAGTGCGAGGAATCGTATGCTATGTACTTTGTATGTGGTCTCATATGACAAAATGGTAAGTAGGATTTTTTTTTTTTTTTTTTTTAAGGGGGGAAAATCATCGAATGACTGCCCCCGCCTGGGTGAGGCGGGAGGGAGTGTCAGACTCTTACTGACTAAAAACCACCCCGTTCCTTCTCCTGCACGTCGAGCCGGAGCCCCGGTTACCCGTTAGGTTCTCCGCGACTCATGGTAAGTAGGATATAAGTTCAGTTCTCACACAATTGTCCCAACAAGACTATGTAACTAGAGAATTGTATTGTGAACCTGATTGACAAAGAGTAACCTATGGAGTTTCTTGCTCGTTCTTCTCCATAGGCATTCCACCTTGGAATGAGCAAATAGGTACACTTTTAATTAACGTCGTATTTCGGTTACCGGAGGCCTAATTTTATCCCCTCACCAATCTACCCAATCACCGAATTCACAATAATCGTCAAATTCCTAATCCTCGAAAGGCCGATAACGCACTTGTAACGCCTTGTGGTGTTCCAGGTGTCCATGGACGACGCCGATTGCTTACCATCAGGTGATCCGTCTGCTCGTTTATCGGCTTATTCCATAAAAAAAAACATACAATTCAAATTCCTTCAATCACAACTACTCACCTCAACTCAGAAAGCAGTTCCATTTCCCTCCTTCTCTGTTGCAGCTTTCTCTCCTTCACCAGCAGCCTGTCTAGCAGGTTCTGATGCTTTCTCCTCTCCCTCTCCTCCCATCTCCTACGGGAGTCCAGCTGACGGATGAATGAAGTATGCTGTCGCCTGCGTTCTCTTTCCTAGGAGGAGAAAGAGATTTTGGTAAGAGATTGATGTTTCGCAGGGTTTGTGTTGTGTTAGTGGTTTTTTTTCTAGTTTTTTTTTTGTGTTAGTAGTCGGTGTAGTTAGTAGTCGGTTGCAGAGGTTAATTAATATGTACAAGAGCGTGACTATGTAAAATGAAATAGTATGTTTTTTTATTGGAATGCGGTTATACATTTTTTTCTGTTATTTCGCATCCATTTTTCTTTGTCTGTAAATAGGGCACGATACTGACACAATTACATTTAAATATGCTTCTTATTTTTTATTTTAAACCATAATGTGATCTGAGACTGTGCGAACACGTCATTTAAGTAGTAGTACTAAATTAAAATTCTGACCTCTGTATTAGGGAAATACCTGTATCACAGAGATCAATATCCTCATGGATTGGTATCATTGTGATCCTAATATCCTAATACCGGTCTTTACGTAGGTAATTATTTAAATCAATTTAAGATTAACAGCAAAAGGAAGAAAAGGTGATGAAACTCGCCAATCATAATATCGGATACTCAATGAACAAGATAGTAAATCAATAATTATAATTATATTTTAATTTAGTACAGTTTTTAAAGATTAAAATTTTAATTTAAAGATACCTATTAATATATTAAGCTTCTTGATGTCGGGGTATTAATAGCATAAATACTGTGATACATAAGGGTAAGCGAGCTACAGCAAATGATTGATAAAAGTGTAAATAGAAGTTGCAAGAAATGGAAAAAAATATATGAACAGTTTTACTATTATCAAGAAAATTAAACAAACATGACGCCTTTTATCCCCGAAGGGGTAGGTGGTGGTGGACATTATGACAGAGGTGTACATTATGCTACTATACAATGTAACACCCACTTTTCACTATTTATGTTAAGAGTCCCATGTAATAGGGGGTGCCTGTTCCCATATACCGGGCACAATTCCAGACTCTGTGCTACAACCGAGAATTTATAAAATACCCAGTAGTACTTTGCCCGACCCGGGAATCGAATATACTTAGATAAAATGGGGCTAAGTTTAGGAGTGGGAGGTCTTTACGTCATAACGTGCTACAAAATGTGACACGCTGTGACGTCACACGATATTTCAAATCAATATATCGTCGAAAGTATTCGTTTCTGTAAGGAAATAAAAAATACGTGTCTAAAGTTAAAAATTAATATACCAGACGGACATTAAAATAAAATTTAGGAAACTACCCCATTGTGGTATAAACCTATTATTATATAACCTATTGTTTTATATTAAGTACTAACAGTAGCACAAACGTACCTCGTGTAGGTACATATTTGTCGTTGATAAATTACTTATTTTGAGGTGATTTTTTCTAACTGACGCTGACTAACCAATCTTAGTCTTTACTTCGAATAAAGATCGATTTTATTAATTTGGCTGTAAAACTGCATAATTCTTAAAAGTTTTTGAAAAATTACTAGAGTATTTGATAATGCTATGAAACGTACCTTTTAAAAAGCACAGGGATCGTACACAAAACTGCGATGCGATGCGAATTCGCAACGCAGAAAAATTACGACACGAATTGCTGCGATGCGATTTCGTGCGACAGGGCGTCTCCCAGGGTGCACCTTCCTTCAACGACCGTCAACCGTACTAATCGTATTTTAAATTGAAAACTAGGTCGTGACATGGATCGTAAAAATAAGTGTGCACTTATGTTATTGCTTAGGAGATACAGGAACAAGAAACAAAGAAGATTTTGGAAAGTTCTTGCTTCTATAGAGGGAGCTCGCACATTTTTGCAATACGAGGTCGCATCGCAGTTTTGTGTACGAGCCCTTAGGTATAAAGCATCTAAAGAATAGTTTGTACAACTGTCAATACCTCGAAAAATAAACTAAAACTACAGATTATAAATATAGCTATTAGTAAAGCATTACATTACAGGTTCTACTTTTATTATTACCTCAGTTATATACTTTTGCTGTGCACCCGGCGTGGTCAGCGAGGATTGTAATAAAAGAGAAAACGAGGTTACACACAAACACACACGCGGACAAACACTTTATGTATATGTAGTTGGATTTAAGTAAGATCAGGTGAGGTGGACTTTAATGCAACAAATGTTATGGTTTAAATTAGTTTAGAAATGGTATAGATAAGTATTTCAAGAAAATGTAAATATTTAGCTATACCTACAGTTTTTTTTAATACGTTGCCCCACACTAGGATTTTCTCCTGTGTCGTGGATGCGTTTACAAATATACAAGTTCACATACACATGACACCCAGACCCGGAGCAACAATTTGACATTTTCGAAAATTGTATTGTATTAATGTATGAATTGACTTCCAACTGGCCTATCTGGAGTTTATTTGGTGAGGCTTATGTTCAGCAGTGGACGTCCTGTGGCTGATATCAGCCCACAGGACGACGATCAACATATGATGATGATGATGATGATGAATTGTAGTAGTATTTACCAGAAACCCTCCTTTATCTTTCTTAAATCCAAATACATAAAAAATAATGATGTTAATCACACACAATTATTAATAAAAACCATGAAAATGATAATAACCTGTTCTTTAAGCAGTATGGCCTGTTGCCGCTTTAATTCCCTCTCCTGAAACAATTCATTTCAGTTTGTAAAAGCCTGCAAAGACAAGTGTTTAGGGGACGTTTTTAACCGGGGCTCCGGCTCGACGTGTAGGAGAAGGAACGGGGCGGTTTTTAGTCAGTAAGAGTCTGATACTCCCTCCCGCCTCACCTAGGCGGGTGCAGTCATTCGATGATTTTCCCCCCTTAAAAAAAAGGGGACTTTCTTTCCATAGATTTAGTTGGTTTAAAGTTTGTAATATAGACGTTTAAATAACTAACTCTATGATCCCTTCTTTGCCCATATTACATAACATGACATCACCTTTATCCCTGACCGCCTTTTATCCCTGAAGGGGTAGGCAGACGTGCACATGACTGCGCTTAATGCGACTGTACACCCAGTTTTCAGTAGTTATGTTATAAGTCCCATGTAATAGAGGGTGAGTCTATTGCCATATACCGAGCACAATTCCAGACTCCGTGTTACAACTGGGATTTAAAAAAAAAAACCCTGTATTCGACCCGGGAATCGAACCCGAGACCCCTTGCCCAGCAGTCGCACTTGCGACCACTCGGTCAACGAGGCAGCCCCTATTAATAAACTACTTAACATGTATTTTATGTCTATTTGAAATTTCATCGAAATGTGTTAAGTAGTTTTGGAGACGGTGATTTTATTGTATGAAATGAAAAATCCTAGTGTGGGCCACCGCATTTTGTATAGCGTTCGATACGCTATACAATTGTCATCAGCTTTATAATGATTAAAAGAACTATTGTCTTTGCAGGCGCTTACTTAAAAAAATAACTAAAAGGTGCATGATAAAAATGACAACAAAATTCAATCATCGCTTTAACAGTAACTAGGTTGGGTCTTGTCTAATAAAATAATTCAGCAAAAATTGAGCTTTAACATAAACGATAGGTATTAGATATAATTATGAGCCGCTGTTTACAAGTGAACATTAGCTCATGACGATACCTAAGTACGTGTGTCGCCTGGACAGTCACCACTACCATCTGTTGACTGGACAATCTCTTTACATGAGCTAATATTTTTGTAGTCCAATCATTGTGCAGGTGCACATACGAAATTAATTACAATACACACTTAACTGCTCGAGGACGCTCAACTGGTTTCGAGCTAGATCCGGGACGCATAAGCATAAGCATGTCGAGCAGCAAAGTCGTGTATTTTAATTAATACATGAGCTCTTGTTTACTTGTGAACATGAACTTATCGATATATCGATACATAGACACGGCTAGTAATCAAGCTATGCAAAACCAGTATAATCTGACTGTGGAATGTGTGAAAGGATCATATAAAGCGATACCTTGATGAACTGGTTTTGTGAACCTCAATTCAGTACTTGCCAACTATTCAATACTTTTTTCGAACTGTCAAAAACGAGAGTGTTCTATGAATTTTGTACGAGATTGTGTATTGTGACGTCACGTTTTTTAATCGTCAAACAGCATACATAGTTCTTAAAAAAAATCTCGAAAAATACTCAAATTAAGTTGGTCATAAAATCAATTAATGATAGTGTGATTTTTTTTTTCTATTTTATTGTATTGAACAGTCGAAATTATGCTTGATTATGGAAAGTACCCAATTCGTCGCCTGGCCTAATGTCTACACTACCTCTACATGAGCTGCTGTGTACATGTGCAATGGTAACAAACCTGTTGCCGTTTGGCTTGTTCTTCGATCTTCTGCTTCTCTATCTCCTCGTGTTTTCTTCTCTTAGCCTTCAATAAGTGCGAACAACATCGAAAGCGGTACAGCAAATTATATTATAACAGCGTTACATGGAACAAAAAATAAAAAAAGGTTCTAACTTAGAAAGATGCTGGCGGGGCTATGTGTTTGATTTCTTTTTCTTTTTTGATTTAAATTTAGAATGTCATGGGACTTTTGCGTTTGATTTTTTAAATGTTTTCTTGTTCCAAAGAGGTTCAATTGATTTTTTGTGACGAAATCAATACACATTTTTGAGTTGAATCTTTCAAATAATAAAAAAAGATAAACAAAAATAATAAAAAGCCTACAAAAGCATAACTATGAGATAGTGAATAGCGTGCAATTACAAAATAGGGTTAACAGAAAAGTAATAAATAAAGTTATTGACAGTTTTTTGTAGATGTATCATTTCACCTGCAAGTCCTTAGTAACCGCCCTCTATTGTTTAAGACTAATTATAGTTCTGACGACCCCTTTCGTGCCTATATCACATATTCTTCGATTCGTTGGATAGAATGAAAAAAAAACCTTCTTTTTCTTAACTCCCATACAAACTTCTTTGAACGTATCTAATACATTCCCACCTATGTGTTACAATTTAACATATTGCGCTCTTTATGGAATTTAAAAAAGTAAAGCAGGAGGCAGCGCAGTAATAAAGCTGGCCAGTTAAAAGTAACATTGACAGCACTTGAAAGTATTGCCAACTCTTTTCTTCGTGAATATTAGACTGTGATAGCAATAATTTTATTATAGAGTAGGGAAGCTATCTGCCCAAAAATATCGATGAAAGAAAATTTATAATACAAAGAATTTCCTAATTCCTTCACCATTTCAAGACGGTACTTTAGTAAGTACAAGTGCCATCCAATCCCCATGGATTAATCGTGCAGTGTTAGTCATTTTCGAAAAATTAGTACATTTAGTTTTTATACACGTACCGATGTCATCGTTTCCTTGCTCAAGGGATGTACCGATATCGATAAAGCCCCGTCTTTCCCCACACTAAACGTGCCCTTGTTTATTTTCTTTGACATTATATCTGTCAAGATATCATCGTCCTCACTCAGGTCGATGACCTCTTTTAGCACTGACTTAGGACTCTCTTTAGGCATCAACATTAAGTTTTGCGACATAAATTCGTTTTTTGCGTTCAAATATTTCTGTTCTATGGCCTGTGGGTCCTCAGTCTTTTTGTCCCCTTGTATTTGTGACCAATCACAACCGTTTATGAATTCGGTTATTCTAGAATATGATTCGATAAGTTTTTCTAGATTATTCGTTTTCTCGGGCGCTTTTAAGCGCTTTTCCGCTGACTTTACAAGGGTGAAGTCGTAGTTTTTGTCTTTTCGCTTTGGTAGGTCAAAAGCCGCTTTTTCAGCGAAGTCTTTCATTTTGTCTAGCGCGTTATATTCCTCTTTCCATCCTGATTGGTCGAATTTTAAGGTTTTTATTGGGGAGTTTTGGTCTTTTGGCCCAGTGACCGGGATTAGAGATAGGCTTATAGGTGGTATGATTCTCTCTTTACTGGTCTTTGTGGCTGGTCCCATCACTATTTCGGGGGTTTTCCATTCGTCCATGGTTTTTGAGACCGTAGGGAGGGGCTCGATCGTCAACTGCGTTCGATTCTTGTTGATATGCTGTTTCAGAGTATTTGCTTCGTTAGTTTCATTTTTTTTTTGTTTTTTTTTTTATCGAATTCTTTTTCGTGTTTATTATCAATTTGGATTATGACAACATTGTCAAGTTCCCCCTTTTTGGCAGTACGGTATAGTGTTATTTTTTCTACTGATAACCCATATAGACAGTATTTTACATAAATATTATATTATAGAAGTATATAAGTATGTATATACCATATTATCTAGGCACACAGCTCAACTACCAACTAAAAGCTAAGAATTTCCAACGCTGTCTACTTTGAAAAGCAAAAAGTGACCAATTTCATTTTTTTACTCTGGCAACCCCAACAAGGCCCTTTTTGCTTTTGAATATAGAACAAAATCTACAGATACGATTGGTGAGCACAATGTTGCCAAGCATCAAATTGATAATAAAAAAATAAAAACAAACACAAGCACATGGTTTTAAAACATATAAACGAACTAAAGACAGGAATAGTTCTCATATTATTAGAAAATGATTCTTATGTACATGTTACGTAGGGTTTAATTTTGAAAGACAGAAAATTGTTAAAAATATTGAAAGAAAAGATATTAATTGTAAATTGTCATATATTTAATTAGTAATTTCTACATATTTACATACATAAAATACATTGCTATAAACATATATAAGTTATTATATTATTATCTAATTTTGAGTTACCATATACCCAGAAATACATCTTCTAGAATCCCCTTATTTATAACGGGGCATATAACAAACAAAAATAGCCAAACCCTTTAGGAGAAACACGAAACGCGAATGTGAATCTCAAAAAGACATAGTACCAAGATTTTTCACCCAAAGGGATCAGCAGAGATATACCAATCTCAAGGTTAAGTTAATTTTATAATTTAAATACTACATTAAATAATAATATGAGAACTATTACAACACAGAGAGGAACACAAAATGATAAAACCCACATAACATAGACTAATTTGTATGTCTAGATGGAACATATCATTAAAAAGATGCAAAAAACGACTCAATTTTTTTATTCTAGCAACACCAATTTTGACTACTACTTTGACCATAGACGTTCGACAATATTACATTAGTATTCAAATTATTACGTATTGGGTTTTTTTAAACAAAATCTCAGTAGGAATACGGGGTCTGGAATTGTGCCCGGTATATGGTAATAAGCTCACCACCTACTACACGGGACTCATAACATAAATAGTGAAAAGTGGGTGTTACATTGTACAGTGGCATTAAGTGCCGTAATGTGCACCTCTGGCTACCCCTTCGGGGATAATTTGGGAGATGTTAATTATTGAGCCGTGTAGACACCAAAATTGTTATAGTGCAGTAATCCACTATACTTTTAATCTAGACTTTTAATCAATATTCTAGTCCATCTAGACATATAATTAGATCTAAGACACAGATAAATAAACCCACTACTGTATACCCCAACATTCCTTTGTTTATCACGTTGCCTAGCAACGGATGTGTGTCAACAACTCAACCAATTGTATTGCGAGAAACGTTAACTTTGAAATTGCTCTTGTATCGTATTATTTTTTTTAATGTTAAGTCTTTAAAAAAAATTGAATAGGTTTTGTATATTTTGGGGACACCTAATTATTGGTAAACCTAACTATATCTTTACATTTTACAAAAGTACCCTTTTGGGTCTATCTGTTGAATGCAAAACTCAAGCACTGCTCGACAGATTTTTGTACGGTTTTCACCTGGTGAAAATTATGTATCTATAAGTATATCTAGTGTGATTCGACTGAGGTATTTTCTTATTTAACTCGTCGAGTACCGGTTTTGTAGACACAATTATAGAACAATAGGTTGCGGTCACCGGTGACCGCTTGGTGTTTGACAGTTTAACAAGACTACAAACGATTCAAAATAAAAATAATATGATAATTAATCAGTTTCTTATTGAAGTTAGTTTATAAAACTGTAGAATACCTATTAATTAATGAACAATATTCTCAAATTTTCTTTAACAATAGAAAAATGTCCAAAACAACACCTAATCAATCTTGACACACATCCGTCCGACCGTCAAACAGCCAGTTTGAGAGTCATTAAAGTCATCAGCAGTCAACTTTGACTCTTGACACCTTGACAGCAGTCATTATTAGAATATTACCTCCAGTAACTGTTGACTCCTCGCTTCCTTCTCACGTTTTGCTAGTTCCGCCTTCTCTGATCTTTCTAGGCGCGCCTGTGGGGGGTAACGGTAATTAATATTGTGTGTTAATGGTGATTTAGTAGGTGTTTTGTGATTTATAGAAGTGACTTTTAACTAGAGTATAATATCACTATTTCCTCGAATACGATACCGGATTTCGTAAGAATTAAACTAAGAATGTTCGAAATATAGTATGTATATGTATATTAGAACCCAAATGGTAGCACGACACGGGAGAAACTGTCTCGGTTTAGTCTTATACCCTCAAAAATTCGAGAAAGTACCCAATTTAATTCTCATTTTCATCAACTGTCCAAATCGAAATTCATTCGTATATTTTCCATATTTTATACTTGAAATCCTTGATTTGTCAGTTTGAATTCCAGAACATTTTGTGTTTGTAATCCTAACAAGTTTCTATAGTATCCTACCTGGTCCCTAGACCGATTGGAGGCATCCCTCCTAGCATCCCTGGCGGCCTGTTGTAACCGCGCGAGTTCCATGCGTCGGTCCAGTGGCGGCGGGGTGGGCCGCCCGCCTGCCCCGGACAGGAGGCGGGCTTCTTCCAGTCTGGGGACAAATTTTTATTGTATTCACATAATATAAAGAGCTGTACATAATGCTTAGTGTTGAGTTATTGGATTTACTGCCGAAATTAATATAAAAAAGATAGAAAGATGGATTTTTTTTATACTTCGACGAGTAGTACGAAAAGCACACGGCCCATCTGATGGTAAGCGGTTACCGTGGCCTATATACGCTTGCAACACTTGGGGCATTACATGCGCCTTGCCAACGATTTATAAACCTATTTACTCCTTTCTTGAAGAACCCCATATTGTAGCACACTGGGAAAACCTTGGCAGGGAGTTCATTCCACAATGTTTTGATATTAGTAGTATGGGCTTTCTATGCAAAATTGATCAATTATTGATCCATTTATATTAAAGATTGGTTTGATTTCTAGGGTAGAGATTGAGGTATATGTACAATAGTGGAAGCAGAGATTAGTATTGATAGGAAGTCATAAAAAAATCGTCTATTGATAGATAACATTTTTTTTTATATAGGTCGTGGTGGCCCGGAGGTTTAAGACGAGGGCACTTCTCATGCATGAGGGTGCGGGTTCGAAACCTACCAACGGCAAGTACCAATGTGACTTTTTCCGAGTTATATGTACTTTCTAAGATTATTTAGACACCACTGACAAACGGTGAAGGAAAAACATCGTGAGGAAACCTGGACTTATAATTTCTAATTATAAGTTTGAAATTGCCAACCCGCAATGAGCAAGCGTGGTGATTAACGCTCTAACCTTCTCCGTGTGAGAAGAGGCTTTGCTCAGCAGTGGGCATTTATAGGCTGTTGATGGATGGATTTTTTTTATTGCGAAAGGAACAAACAAACAGTCGAATTGTTTGATCGGAGATTCGATAATCTATATATATATATTATTATATAAAATGAATCCCTTTTTCCCTTGGTCACGACATCACGCGTGAATAGAATAATAGATAATAATAGAATGGCTGAATAAATGGCTGGACCGATTTCACTCATTATTTTTCTGTTGTTTTTGTTTAGGAGAAGGTTCTTGACAGCTGAAATCCTGAAAATCCTACGGGGACTGGAGAAACCGGGATTGCGCGTACAAAGTCGCGGGCAAAAGCTAGTTAATTACAATGTAGACTAAGTATAGCAAAATATGGACATATTAAAAACATTTTTTTTTTTTCATTTTTTAAAATCTTATACTATTATATAAAGCGGAAGAGTTTGTTTTTTTGTTTGTTTGTTTGAACGCGCTAATCTCCGTAATTACAAGTCTGATCTGAATAATTCTTTTTGTGTTGGATAGCGCATTTATCGAGGATTGCTATAGACAAAACATCCCGCTACGACCAATAAGAGCTGAGCAGAGCGTGTGAAACGGCGCGGAAGTAGCTATAAAAGGATATGCTACTTCTTAGTACATTAAACTGTCAATAAAAGTCCTGTCAAAATTGGTCCAACCATTCCATAGATTAGCCAGTATAAACAGACAGAGAGACAGACAAAAATTGTAAATAAAGATATTTTGGTATGGGTATTGTATGTACATATATTCATATGCATGTAGTGAAGAGCGGTTATTTTAATATTACAAACAGACACTCCAATTTTATTTAACTGTATGGCCTTTGCCCTGCAGTGGGACGATCATGGCTGAAAATAAATCCTTACTTATATTATAAATCGATACGTGAGTTCGTTTGTATGTTTGTTCCGCTTTCACGCCGGAACTACTAAACCGATTGCTTTGAATTTTTGCAGACGTAATGTTAGAAGTCTGGATTAAATAATAGGATACTTTTTATCCCGGAAAAATTGATATTTCCGAGGGAAAACAAAAATATTGGTATAGATGGCGCTGTGTGTATTGGTATAGATGGCGCTGTGTGTCATTTAAAACCAGTCAACGAATTACCTACTTGTTGGAAAAATGTAAATAGCGCGATATAACCGAATACCACACGAGCGTAAAGCTATTAATTTGTTTGCTTGTCTTATACGGCAGAACGGAGGTAATAATTAACGTGATTTTTTAACTGAAGGGATGGATAGTCACATAGGCTACTTTTTATCATTTTGTGACGCGAGCGAAGCCGCGGGTAAAAGCTAGTAAATAAAAAAATAATACATAGGACAGCTTACCTCTTATTAATTTCATTCTCGTTGTAAATCAATGGCTCCCCGACCTCGCTTGCGGGCTGTATGTACTCCCCGAGCACTGTGCGCGCTGAGAAACTGAAGTTGTCCGTCGATAGCGGCGGACATGGGTTCGAGTCTAGGAACTGTAATAATAAAATGTTTAAAATTTGATATAATATACTTCTTTGTGAGATTGGTGCTGTTTTGAACAAGAGCTCTTCAAAAATATTTTTTTTTATTTCTAATAAACATTATTATTAAGTGTTGGAGAGCCATGCTTCAGCACGAATACGCCGGCTCGACCGGAGTGATACCACGGCCTCACAGAAAACCGACGTGAAACAACGCTTGCGTTGTGTTTCGTCGTGTGAGTGAGGTTACCGGAGGCCCAATTATCCTCCCCTTCCCCAATCTCCCCAATTCCTGAATCCCCAACGATCCTCAAACTCCTTATCCCCAAATGCGGCCCAATGGACACCCGCAACACCAGAGGGTTCAGTGCGTTGATGGCCTTTTAAAAAGGAATACGCTCTTTTCTTGAAGGTCATCTCAGATCATACCAAATATTTTTTTTAAAAAAACGTTGCCCCACACTAGGATTTTCTCCTGTGTCGTGGGTGCGTTTACAAACATACAAGTTCATATACACAATGACACCCAGACCCGGAACAACAATTTGTGGATCACACAGTGTTGTTCCGTGCGGGAATCGAACCAGCGACACGTTGCACGGCAGCCGGTTGTCCAGCAAACGCACCAACCGTGCAGTCTTTTTTTATTGGAATTGAAACCATTTGAAACTGACTGAGATATATTATGTTGTATTAAATTATTATTTTTTTTGCCTCTGCGCTCACAAAAAGTCTTAAATATGATCTTTATTGTCATAGCGGTATTTTAGATTTAGAACGATACGCTCCCTTGTTCTTGGAAATTCATTGAATGTCACCTCCCACCCTGGATGAAGCGAGAGGGAGTGTCAGACACTTACTGACTGAAAACCACCTAATTCCTACTCTTGCTTCGAGCCCGAGCCTCTTTAACCATTTAGGTTGTTTCCAGCTCTGGGGATCCCCGCATTTTGGTGATAAGTCGTTTTCTACTAATAATGCTACACAATTTTTCGGCAAAATGGCGAAATAACTTAAAATAATAATAATAAAATAGACTTACATTCTGTATATCATGTAGCGAGCGCATTGTGATCCCCGCGTGAGGGTCCGGGGGGGAGTACGTGACGTCACCCTTGATGCTGCAGTTACGGGACAGTCCCTTTATCACTGTCACACGCTTCCAACCTGGAATGCAAGGGATTTTGTAGCAGCGTACTTTTAAAGAATGTTAGGTGAGTAAGCTGAAAAAACGGTCACGGGTTTGATTCCAGGGTCGGGCAAAGCATTACTACGTTTTTTAAAGAATTCTCAGTAGTAGCACGGAGTCTGGAATTGTGCCCGGTATATGGGAACAGGCTCACCCCCTATTACATGGGACTCATAACATAAATAGTGAAAAGTGGGTGTTACATTGTACAGTGGCATAATGTGCACCTCTGCCTACCACTTCGGAGATAAAAGGTGTGATGTTATGTTATCTAATGTAAATATTTTATTATTCATCAGTTTATCTCACCTAAAGCCAAAGGCAATCGTAGCTGTGCGTCGTTGGGTCTCCGACTGGTGTCGGACGCGTCCGAGTCGGACGGACAACTGTCCGACGGACACTCCGAGTCTGTACTCGCCGTCTCGCCTAATAGCGCTTTTAGTTTTTCCTGAAAAAGATATAAAAATATGTTTATTTAACTATAAAACTATAACCAGTATATACTGAACGTTAAATGTGCGGAAAGATGATGCGACGCGACACCAGGATAAACTGGTTTTGTATAGATTGACGTGTGGCCGTGTGTACCTTCCCTGGACTTCCACGAACATTTCAACACCAAAATTAGCAAAATCTGTTCAGTCGTTCTCGAGTTTTAGCGAGACTAACGAACAGAAATTCTTTTTTATTTATATAGATAAAGTTAATACTACAAAGTCAAAGTCAAAGCATTTATTTCAATAAATCCTTAATTCGTCACTTCAGCAGCGTTAAAATTGAATTGTCCGTCCGTCTGTCTATCAGTAATACAAAATTGCTTACCAAATCAGTCTCAGCCAGCAACTGGTGCGCGAGCGCAGGTCGGAGGCCGAGCGCCCTGCTCTGCGCCAGGAGGGAGGCGACCGTGTTCTTCTTGGGCTTGCTGACGCCACGTCCCAGGTTCCTGGGCCGACCCTCCCGCCCTGCCCAGCCCGCAACTGCTGTTGGATTATGGCATTTAGTTTGACAAGTTAAATGCCAGTTAAACTGATCAAAAATCAGTCATGTAATTGATGGACTTGCATTATACCTGTCATAGTTTGTAAGGTTTTTTTATTCTTATTGTTTGTTTTATCTAAGGACTGTTCTGTTTTGTTTTTTTTTTCTGTTTATAATTATTTGAAATGTATAACGCCTTGGTTTTATGATTGTAATGTTATACTATTTAATTGAAATAAATAAATAAATTATACCAAGAACAATATAGTGCTTTCTAAGGAATAATGTTGTCTAAAAGAATCGAATACAGGTCCATTGTTCAGCAGTTCAGTGAAAGGTGACCGGTTTCATGTTCAACTCCTGAGTCTAGTGGTATTTGAGCATGTGCATTTTGACTTTGGAATTTCAATAACACCGGAACGTCTGAATTTGTATCTAGTGTTTTGCAGGCTCGATTTGATGTAATAAAAATTATAACAAATTACTAACTGCTAAAAAATTTATAAGTGATGGAAGTCGACCCATGACATCAGTTCTATTGAATTTCTTTCTAAAAACGTAGATGGTTAGACTGCCTCGTTGGCCGAGTGGTCGCAAGTGCGACTGCCGGGCAAAGGGTCTCGGGTTCGATTCCCGGGTCGGGCAAATATTACTGGGTTTATTCAAACATTTTCCAGTAGTAGCGCGGAGACTGGAATTGTTCCCGGTATATGGCAATAGGCTCATCCCCTATTGCATGGGACTCATAACATAAATAGTGAAAAGTGGGTGTTACATTGTACAGCGGCATTAAATGCCGTAATGTGCACCTCTGCCTACCCCTTCGGGTACAAAAGGCGTGATGTTCTCATGTTATGTACATAGATAGCTAAACGTTATGCATCGATACAAAGATATGTTAGTTAAAATTTTTAGTAATTAGTATTATTGGTTATGTTATAAAAACGATTATTTTATAAGCCCTGGATGGGAGGACAGTGAATCGCGTCGGCAAGACATTGTATCGATACAGAACTGGCAAGCAACTTACATATAACATAAATAAAAAAAAAGTTCCTATAATCACACTATAATTTTGGAAATCTTTACGCAATATTTGTAAGTAAGGAAGTATTAAAACTTGAGTAATCTTATGCTGCTCCTGAACGTTAAACCATTTTAACACAAGGAACAAAAAAAATCTACTTTTTTATCAAAATCAAGTGGGAGACCCATGCATCAGCACGAATGGGCCGGCTTGACCGGAGTGAAACCACGGCCTCACATAAAGCCGACGTGAAACAACCACAGCGTTGTGTTTCGTCGTGTGAGTGAGGTTACCGGAGGAGGCCCAATAAAAAATCCCTGAATCTTCAAACTCCTAATCCCCAAAAGGCCGGTAACCCACTTGTAAAGCCTCTGGTGTTCCAGATATCCATGGCCGATTGCTTACCATCAGGTCATCTGAATGCGCGATTACCGGTTTATTCCACAAAAAGAAATAAAATCAGTTCAGCAGTTTAGATGTCCAGCACTTTTTTTAGCCAATTGACGTATGTTCTTTCGTTTGTAAACAAACATATGTTTCAACATCAGCAACAAGAGATAAAGACATAATTATGGTAGCGGGTATTAGGTACCTATGAGTTCCAAATACTAACAATGAAAATTGCGTAAAGATTTCCAAAAACCCATTAAAAAAAATCCTTTTGAAATGACAACGTACATTCACTGTCCTCGCTTCCACTGGATTTAGGCCGCGGTGCGTCGGGTACTGGGTTCAATTCTGGAGCGACGCGACGAGGCTTAGCGCCCGGCTTGCGTCGGGCTGTTTCAATAGAGGGTTAAGACATTATGTACCGAATGAAAATCGTTGAAGGTTTGAATAAATTTAGTTTTGATATTTTAGTTAGTCATTCTACTTATGACGGTTAATTGATATTGTAGGAATTTATGTCTCAAGTAAATATGTCTGACACTCTATTTGAAGTTATTAAATGAACACTTTAACAAATATCTTCAATAATTTTACTTAAAACATAAACTTAACTTTTGTCGATTGTACGGTCAAAGGTCAAAAGTCCACTGCCACCGTAAGACTGGTATCAGTTGCGCTGCAGCGCTTATACCCACATGCACACGCATTATATTTGTATCCGTGTGCGTACGCGTGCGTGTGTTTATGCGTATGAACGCGTTTTTATGCACATTAATATGAAATTACTTATGCATTACCGTGTGAACATCACTCACTGTGGCAGTGGACTTTTGACTAATTTAAGTTCTTTAAGTCTTATGGGTGACTAGGTCATGGGAATTCTGTTCGATTATCCAAGCGATTGGTACATTGTGTTGTGTTATGCAAAATACACATACATATATTATTAATTTATTGTATTTAGTGATACATAGATATTTATTTATACTTACATATCCTATCGTGACTGGACGATGCGTTGAGAGAGCTGCTTAGTGACGTCAGTCGCGACAAAGCGTCCGATGCTTGGGAACTCGCTAAAAAGATACATTGAAGGAAATTAAATTAACGAATACTACTGTGTATTTTATAAATTCTCAGTAGTAGCACGGAGTCTGGAATTGTGCCCGGTATATGGCAATAGGCTCACCCTCTATTACATGGGACTCATAACATAAATAGTGAAAAGTGGGTGTTACATTGTACAGTGGCATTATGTACACCTCTGCCTACCCCTTCGGGGATAAAAGGCGTGATGTTATGTTATGTAAATATTGTAGTCGCCTCGTTATTCGAGTTGCAAGACTAGCAAGTCTCGAGTTTAATACTCAGGTTAGGCTAATATTTTATTAACGGAATTTTTAAGGTTTTCGAAGATATCTCAAAAATGGCATATTTTGATCTGGAATGTACCTGCGCCTTTAGCCAAACGCCACTTTAGCGCTTGTCTACAGAGAGAGTAGAAATCAAAATGTATGGGAATGACACTTACAAGTGTCAAAATTAACGTCAATTCCATATAATTTGGTTTTCTATTCTACATGTAGACATGCGCTTAATGGCATTTGCCTACAGCCGCTGGTGTGTAGAAATTGGCTGACCTATTATCACATCCGGGACTCACACGTAACTAGTCAAAAGTGGGTGAATCTTTATCGATTCTATCTCGTCATTTTGTACTCCATATGTATACTCACCAGGAGTAGGTTTCAAGGAGAGGTTGAGAGGAGCGTCCTCATCCACGACGGAGGACTTGACGCCCAGGTCCAGGGGAGAATCCTCTTCCATCTTTGTGCTTAGGTTCAAACCAGCCTCTGTAACAAAACAGCCTTTGAGTACCGTCATTATAGACACAATTAAAGAACAATAGGTTGCGGTCACCGGTGACCGTGCGGTGTTTGACTGTTTAAGACATATATAAGGTGTTATGGAAAGAGATAGCAATTGTTTTCAGTGACTAAGCGACGCATCGCGCGGAATTTGTGGACCACATTATGCTGAGAAAAGTCGATGTTTATTTATTTGTTCATGTTCGCAAACAACTCAACGTCAGTAGACGTCGCGGCAGGCACAAAAGGAGATGCTGCTCCGATTTGAATAGATCTTTTTGTGTTGGATATTACATTAAGTGCAGCTGCCGGGCTCGGGTTCTATTTCCAAAGTAGTAAGGTCCGGCAAAGTATGACTAGGATTTTCAAAAAGATATCAGTAGTAGCACGGAGTTTGTATTTGTGTGCGGTACATGCCAATAGGCCCACCCCCTATTATATGGGACTCGTAACATGAATAGTGAATAGTGGGTGTTACATTGTACAGTGGCATTAAGTGCCGTAATGCGAAAATTACGGCCCTCTGCCTACCCCTTCGAGGATAAAAGGCGTGATGTTATGTTATAGGCTATAAAACATCACGCTATAATTAACAGGAGCCGTGTGAGGAGCTAGTTAAATATAAAGTCACCTGCAGAGCCGGCCAGCTGTCTCTCCAGCGCAGCCAGGCTCACTCCACTCTGACTAGCTATAGTTTGCAGGAGCTCACGAGATATACCTAGAAATAAAATAAGGAACATATTAATATCTTATCCCTGTTATACATTGTTCTTGGATACTGGATAATGATCTGTGTGTGCAGTACATTAAGGTCTTTTTGAGATATTATTTATTTATTATTTTGTTATTTGGTTTTGTTGTTTTTCGCTGCTGTTTTTTTTAATGTTGTTTTATGTAATTATTGTTTTTTTTTTAATTTTGTATTTAAATTTTATTTTATGTTTGTGTATTTGGTGGGTCATGCTTAATGACGAATAAATTATTTTTCGTTCTTTCTTTCTCAGAGATGAGATCCAATGAGACAGAGCACTTGATGGTAAGCAATCGGCGCCATGGACACCTCTGCAATTCTAGAGGACTTTTTTTATTATTTTAAGGGGGGAAAATCATCGAATGACTGCTCCCGCCTGGGTGAGGCGGGAGGGAGTGTCAGACTCTTACTGACTAGAAACAACCCCGTTCCTTCTCCTGCACGTCGAGCTGGAGCCCCGGTTACCCGTTAGGTACTCCGGGACATTCTAGAGGACTTACAATACAATGGCCTTATTACGAGTTTGATTTACGTTTAAAGTATTAAAAACGAGTACGCGTTCGGCATTCTGATTGGCCCGCACCAATGAACCAACCAATCAGAGCGCCGAACGAGTACTCGTTACGATTACTTAAGACGTAAAACGAAATCGTACTAAGGTAGGTCGAAACCCAGCAGTAGCCGTAGAATGACTCTTTTTTTATGGAATAGGAGGCAAACGAGCAGACGGTTCACCTGATGGTAAGCGACCAGCGCCGCCCATGGACACCCGCGACACCAGAAGAGTCACAGGTGCGTTGCCGGCCTTTTAAAAACGAATACGCTCTTTTCTTGAAGGTTTGAAGGTCGCATCGGTTCGGAAATACCGCCGACGACAGATCATTCCACAGTTTTGCTGTGCGAGGCAGAAAGCATCGAAAGGCTCTACCACGTCAAGTTACATAAATGGTTTATATTATGAGTAAATAACATACATACCTGCATAATCGGATAGGTTAGGCGGTGGCGTGCCGGACAGTGAGTTGTGTCCGGCACGGTCCGGCTTGGTCGGTAACCGGATCACTTCCACTGACGACCGGGAGTTACCGTACTCGTCCTAGCAACAAATAATATAAATTAGTTACGTCACGCTAAATATTTTGAGGTGATGGAGATTGATATAGGTTGTCAAATTTCCCTTGTCAAAATTAGCATTGAGCAAGCATGGTGATTAATGCTCAAACCTTCTCCGTGTGAGAAGAGGCTTTGCAATGGTCTTAGAAAGTTTAAATACCAACATTTAATATTTTTTATTTCTATCAATTCCTTCAACGAATAATAACAATCAAGAACAATAAAGTTATCTTATAGAACTCACAAGTTTAGGCCGTTTGCTAGGTAGCGGTGCGTTTCTGTCGGCGGGGTGTACACTGACGTGCGGCGGGTCGAGGGATATCGTCTTCTTACGACCACGGGTCGTCGTGCCTGCACCCGCCTGAGGAGTAAAGGTATAAATTAATTGGTTATTGATAAATATGAAGTTGTTGTAGTCATCGTTAAGCGGAAAATTACGTATGTAGTAATGTACTTCTCCAGTTAGATCCATACCAATATCTTTATCTATACTTCTGTACATCTGTACAAATATTATAAAGAGGAAAGATTTGTACCTATTTTTGTATGTTTGTAATGAATAGGCTCAAAAAGTACTGGGCCGATTTAAAAAGTTCTTTCACCAATAGAATGCTACATTCTTCCAATTTGACATAGGCTACATTTCATTTTGAAAAAAATTAGGGATCCTTATTAAAATTTGAACAATGTAACCGAAGGTGTAGAAAAATGAGTCTTAAAATGTGTTTCGTCGAATGCGCTGCCGAAACTATTAGCGATAGAACAAAATAATGTACAACAATATTGAAGAATATCATAATGTATACAAAAAACGCCGCGGTAGCATATGTCCAACTATTGTAGTTATATCACTACAACAATCCTTCCAAAAATAAATAATTGTCTACCCCGTGCGAAGCCGGGACGGGCTGCTAGTCTCTACATATAATAAAATCGTAGGAAAGTGAAAACTGTACATCGAATATTTTTTTATCGTGGCGTGATCTACCATCGATACCGCAACCAAAAATATAGTTTTTAGTATTTTTGTCTGTTCGTCTGTATCTATGTCCGGGCTAAACTCAAAAAGTACTGCACAGATTTACTTCAAATTTTGCATAAATATTACAAATAGGCCGAGTCAACATATAGATTACATATTATCACGCTATCACCAATGGGAGAGGAGCTGTAAAGAACTATCCAAAGTCACTATTTCATGCGAACGAAGTCAGTCGCTGGCATGTACTAGTTAAAAATAATTGTATATTTTATTGTATTTTACCTTAGGCCCGGCCAGTGAGGAGGTGTACTTGATAATCTCAGTGTCGGGAGGCAGTCGGACACCGCCCAGCACTGAAGATGGATCACTGAGGATAAGATACACAAAATGAATAATGATTTTCTTTTAAAATATTAACTTATAAGAAAACCACAGTTGCTTAGACCTCTAAGCAAAAATAAAAGGAAGATAAGTTTTTCTCCTGTGTCGTTTGTATGTGACATATTAATTATACAGACTTGGAACCACTTTCATCTTAATATATATTATAAATCTCGTGACACAATGTTTGTCCTCAATAGACTCCTAAACCACTTAACCGATTATTATAAAATTCGCACACCATGTGCAGTTCGATCCAACTTGAGAGATAGGATAGTCTATTTTTCATTAGGGTACAATAGAATAGGGTAGAATAGGGTAGAGTAGGGTGGAGTAAGGTAGAGTAGGGTAGGGTAGCGAAGGGTAGAGTAGGGTAGAGTAGGGTAGATTAGGGTAGAGTAGGGTAGGGTAGGGTAGAGTGGGATAGAGTAGGTTAGAGTATTACGCGGTACGAAGTTCGCCGGGTCAGCTAGTCTACAATATAAAAATAAGTCGAGTTTTCCTTCATGACGCTATAACGCTATAAGTTATCGTTTAATCACCAAACGGAATGTTACATAAAACAAAGTAATCTGGTGGTGAAACGGAGTTCGCCGGGTTTCCTAGTAAGATTATATAAGTATGCTTTATTTTTTGTAAAGGTTAAGAAACTGTGGTTTTTTGTGCAATAAGATATCTTACCCTCCTTCTAAAGCAGCACTGGGATAACAAACATAAATATCATTAGTTTTATAAAGATAAATTGTGCTATTCGAAAAAATAAATTAGACCAAAAAGCTAAAATTGCTTCTGACATAACATTACATACCATCACGCCTTTTTATCCCCGAAGAGGTAGGCAGAGGTGCACATTACGGCACTTAACTCGTCGAGTACCGTTTTTTTAGACACAATTATAGAACAATAGGTTGCGGTCACCGGTGACCGCTTGGTGTTTGACAGTTTAATGCCACTGTACAATGTAACACTCACTTTTCACTATTTATATTTGAGTCCCATGTAATAGGGGGTGAGCGTATTGCCTTATACCGGGCACAATTCCAGGACTGCCTCGTTGGCTGAGTGCCTCAAGTGCGACTGCCGGGCAAGGGGTCTCGGGTTCGATTCCCGGGTCGGGCAAAATATTACTGGTTTTTTTTTTAATATCAGTAGTAGAGCTTTTCTCAAATAGTTTACGTGAACGAATTTTAAATCACATTATGTATTCTACACTTTACCAAAACATGTTTCATTTAAGGAAATTGAAACAATGTTCTCACCTAAGTATAGTGTGTGGTAGGCCTGTGAGGGAGTCGATGCCGGTGTGGCGGCCATCTTTGTCCGCGCCCGGCATGCCGAACGGGTATAGAGGTGACATGTTCTGCAATTAAATTAGGTATAAGGTTATGTTTTGTTAAAAAACCGGGAGTCCCGTATGAGGGAGGAAATCAGCGAATGTATCCTTTCACCCTGGGTGAGGTGTGAGGGTGTGTTTTTTATAGGATAACCCGGTAAACGAGCCGACGGATCACTTGATGGTAAGCTTCGCCCATGGACACCTGAAACACCAAAGACGTTACAAGTGCGTTACCGATTTTCAGGGAATTTGAGGATTGTGGGGGATTCGGGGATTGGGGAGACTGGGAAGGGAGGTAATTGGGTCTCCGGTAACCTCACTCACACGACGAAATAACACGCAAGCGTTGTTTCATTATGGTTTTCTGTGAGGCTGTGGTATCACTCGGGTCGAGCCGGCCCATTCGTGCCGACGCATGCCTCTCCCACGCTTCACTTTGTCAGACTCTTACTGACTAAAAACCAACCCATCCCAAATCCTGCTTCTAGCCTGATAGTCCTTGCGGTTCTCAGTAGCTCCGATTATTTCCGTAGTCTTGGGTAACTGACACCGAAGTATAGTACCGTGCACATAAAATTGAAGCGACCATATCCGCTACTTAAACTGCTGCAGCTGATTAGCAGTGGCGCCTCGAAAAATCACGCCACTATTACGTCACACGTGGCGTGATGTCAGACGGCGTCGTATGATGCGCAGCTCCGCCTATTTTCAAGATAGTCGTTGAATCCTTCGTGCGCAAGTAACGCCTTCTTCTAACATGGCGACTTCTAGTATAAATGGTAGTCGATGACGTGGCTTCGACACACTTCGCTTTCGCTTCAGCTTGTGCACGCTTCACGTTCAATATTATTGTTTGTTGCTTTATTACTGATTAAATTGTAAATAAATAGTGGTTAAGCAAATATTATAACAGGAAAATAAATAATTTTAATTTTTGTCTTCCGTTTTAATTTGTATATACTTCCTACATTAAAGCACTAGTGAAATAACGGTTTCTGGGAGTAGAAATATACGAGAAGCGATGAGAGAACCAACCTCAGGTCGCTTCAAGATATTACGTATGTGAAGTATATTTGTGGGTACGTCTCAGGTTTTACCAAGAGTAGAACAAACTGCAAGGATTTTACTATACTGTTATGCAAGTAAAATCAATAATTCTGCACAAAATCTCCCTCCGTCTGGTTTTCAGATGCAAGGAATTCACCTAATTTGTGTCAGAAGCCACAATCAAATAGTTCAGCATTTATATATCACTGATTAGTATGCTGACCTTTCCCTTAGCAGCCGCAGCGACGGCGGCATGGTATGCTCCATGCGCCGCGGCCTGCGCCAGCATGAGGTCGCCGCGGAGGAGGGCCAGCTCACGCTCCTTGCCCTTCGATGACGATGACGAGGATGATGGCTTCTCTGCAAAAAGAGAATGTTTCCATGTTAGTTATAGTCAAATGTTTACTATGATAAGCCCATTATGTGTACAAAAATTGGTTTTAAAATAACATAACATAACATCCCGCCTTTCATCCTCAACGGGGTAGGCAGAGGTGCACATTGCAGCACTTAGTCCCACTGTGCAATGTAACACCCACTTTTCACTATTTATGTTATGAGTCATATGTAATAGGGGGTGAGTCTATTGCCATATACACAAAGCACAAAGCCAGACTCCGTGCTACTACTGAGATTTTTTTTTAAAAATCCCGTAATACTTTGCCCCGCCAGGCAATCGAACCCGAGACCCCTTGCCCGGCAGTCATACTTGCGACCACTAGGCCAATGAAGCAGCCAATGTTTTTAAAATGTTAAAGCAAATAGTGTACCTAGACATATTATAGGTACTGTTTTGTTTCACATAACGCTATAAGAAACACTATCACGTGTCACGTCGGATATCGCAATTACCGGTCGTGTCTATGGGCCCCCAGCGTGGCTCGAAACTAATCGTGTTACATCGTCAAACAGTTATGTGAAAAACCCGTAATTTAATATGGGTTTGGTTTATCACCTAATGATAAGCAATTGGTACCGCCCATGGACACCCCCAACACCAGAGGAGTTACAAATGTTATAGAGATCGGGGATTTGAGGATCTCTCAAGTTTTACTTACTGGAAGGTTGAGGAGTAGAAGGCGGTTTGTTGCTAGGCTTGCTCTGATGAGGAGCAGCCACGAGGCTGTTCAACGAGGCCAGGCTAGACAGTGACTGGGAATGATGCATCGCTGATGGTGATGATGTTTTCGGAAGACCGTATGATGATCCTGGAATGATGAAGTGGTTATCAAGGAAGGTAATTAATTTCGTTGATGGAGTAGTTAAAAGGCTTATAAGATAGACTAGTTGAATGAGTAAATTAATAAGATAATCAATAATACCTAACATAATAATAGATTTTTATTTTATGTTATGATTGTAAGATTCTTAAACCAGTATTGGCTATGTGCAAAGCGAATAGTGGCGGACAGATAACGACCGCAGCGCACAACACGGCAGAAATTGGAAACAAATGGGGATGATCAGCTGTCAAATGTGTTGATTGCAGTACAAAATCAAAGCAAAGAATTGGACCATGGCTCGTATTAAGTAGCTCTGGCCGTTATGTCGCAGTTCTTCTACATTTCTTACATGCTCGGCTAATACTAATTTGTTGCCTTTTGTCTCAGTTTGTGGTTGTAAACTAATATTTGGTGTATTTCATAATAGTTTCAAACCCGGTTTTTATTAATATATTCATTTTACAGTAAAACTATTGAATAAATTGCACTTAAATAATGTCAACAATACTATTTTAATTTTTGGATTTATTTATATTTGCAAAGAAAACTATAATGTTTGCATTGTTATTATTTGACAGCTTCCGCAAATATTGTAAACGCTACGCGTCGCCACCGTCGTGCACATAGCCAATATTGACTGTTTATAGAGGGTACTTAATCACCTGCTACTTTCATCTCTGAACTACTTAAAGGTTGACTGGGAGACAATGCTCAAGGCATTAAGTCCACCTGTACACACTTGTTTTATCAGTTTGGAGTTTGGTATAAGTTTTGATTACTTTTGATATTAACTTTTCTATTTAAATTCCCAGATCGAGCAAAATAGTTGGGTTTTTGATATTCGTCATTATAGTATGGTGGTTGTGGTTAGCGCTTACTTGCGCAAACATTTAGCGCAAGAAAGCGCAAGTTGTTTTTTTATGGCATAAGCCGGTAAACGAGCAGACGGATCACCTGACGGCAAGCAATCGTCGCCACCCATGGATACCTGAAACACCGAGGCGTTTCAAGTACGTTACCGGCCTTTTGGGGATTAGGAGTTTGAGGATCGTTTGGGATTCAGGGATTGGGGAGATTGAAGGGGAAGGGGAGGGTAAATGGGCCTCCGGTAACCTCACTCACACGACGAAACACAACGCAAGCGTTGTTTCACGTCGGTCTTCTGTGATATTAACTTTTCTATTTAAATTCCCAGATCCAACAAAATAGTTGGGATTTTGATATTCGTCATTATAATATGGTGGTTACTTACTAGTAGTAGGTTACTTAGACATATTTGCGCAATCATATAATTAAACAAACTTTATTTTCCAACCGGCCTATCTGGAAGTCATTGGAGGAGGCCTTTGTTCAGCAGTGGACGTCCTATGGCTCACCCATAGGACGTCCGGACCATAGGATATGATGATGATGAAGCGCAAGTATTGCATTCTCAGCGTGTTAAAATTGTGATGGGTCCAATTAAAATCTCAACATCAACATTTTGAATACACTGACAATCAAACACAATCATCAAAACTATTACTTTTTATACCACGACGGTGACAAAAAGAAGCATACAGGCCACCTGATGGTAAGTGGTTCCCGTGGCCTAAGAACGCTTGCAACACATCGTATTACATGCGCCTTGCCGACCCTTTAATAAACCTATTCACTTTATGTAAGTAATTTCTACAGCAGAACTATCCTTATTTCAATAGCAATAAGGTCTTAATTTCCTTGCACACGTGTCAACAATACCAAAAACAGTAAAATATTCTGTATTACTATAGTTTCATAGTCTAATTTGAATTGGATATAGATACGTGCCCCACTCACTCATGCTCTGTGAGTTGGCGCTGCCCGTGGATGGACTCTTGTCCTTTGTGGACGCGCTGGATGATGTACTGCTTCTGCCTGACCTGGAATGGAAAGGATAGTTAAGGAATTTGATACTTCATTGTGCTAGTGGTAAGGTTGCTTTTAGCTTGTAGCTGTGAGATAAAAAAGTTAAGTTTAATCCTTTATTTTAGGCGAAGATCGGTGTGATATGTTTGTAAACAAACTACAAAGGTACTAAAAAACATCTAGTCGGTTCAAATCGCACTTTTTGTTCTTCTATTATTTTGCTATCACTCAGAACTATTAATAAATAGAGAGAGAAAGAGGGCGAGAGTGAGACCGCACGCGGTGTAAATTAAAGGGACATAGTTCTACCTGAATACTTTGTTTAATCTTTCTCCCCGAAAGCTAGACATTATTTGAAGGCCGCTATAAAAAGGAAAACAAAGTTAGAGCAAGCTCTAATGATACACCAAGAAGTATCTTGCTCGTTCTTCACCATTGTAATCTCTATTTTGGAACGAAGAAGCTTCACTGACGGACAAACTGACGGCCAACGCTATGTTGAAGTTTCAAAAGTGGTTGTATGCGATTTAATAGAAAAAGCTTTGACTTTGTCTTCGAATCTCACCTCTCATTCCGACTAGACAATTTCCCAGGTTTTTGTGGCTGTTTCAAGCCCCCACTGCCTGAGAGGGCTGAGAGGGCAGCGTAAGGATCTGCGAGAGGAGGGAAGTTCAGGCCTGAAGCCTGTAGCCTCGCCAGGTAGTCCTGCGCCGCCAGGTGGGACGCCATCGACCACCATGCTGCACCTGGAGACGGATGATTTTATTAGTCATTTTTTATAGTTCTTAAAAACTTTGATTTCAAACAGATTGAAAAAGAGAAAAAAAATGGTTATTGAAAAAGAGAAAAAAAATGGTTTCTTTCTCGTTCTTCTCCATAGGAATCTACATTTTGAAACGAGGAAATAGAGCCACTAGTGGACTGACAATTTTTATTTATTTGACGTTTAAAACCGCCTTACATTGGTCTAATTGAAATAAATAAATGATCTGACTTTAATGTTAGACTATGCATGCACCAAAGCCAAAAGTAATGCAAGTGAACCAAACATTTTTTTCAGTTCATACACCAGATTCAGGCAAGTGAAATACAACCTTAAACAAACTACATTAAAATCTAAAATAGAAAAACCAGAAAAGCTCATACCATTGTACTTACTGGCAGCGGGGTGTAGGCCAAGGGAGGCAGCTTGGTTGGCAGCGACCCCCAAAGTGGTGGGGGGCGGGTATCTGGAACCGAACCCGAAGAGTGCCGCTTGGGCCTGGGCCTGCGCCTGGGCAGCCGCCGCGCCACCGCCGCCTGCGCCATCGCGACCCCAGTATGCTGGAAGGAGATAACTGAATTAGTAAACGTTGTCAAAGTCAATGAACCCGAAATAACTTGCGAGGTAGTCACGGTTGCAACCAATTGAACTATAAGGTAATCAGTTGGAAAAGAAAGATCATATAATATTAAATCTAGAGGTAGTGTCGATTAAGAGGTCCTCAGTTCGACTTTCGACCCAACCATTGAATAAATATTTTGAGTAATTAATTCTAAAATATGAACGGAAAACACGATAGAAAATCTTATACTATTATATAAAGCGGAAGAGTTTGTTTTTTTGTTTGTTTGTTTGAACGCGCTAATCTCCGTAACTACAAGTCTGATTTGAATAATTCTTTTTGTGTTGGATAGTGCATTTATTGAAGATGACTATAGGCTATAAAACATCACGCTACGACCAATAGGAGCTGAGCAGAGCGTGTGAAACCGCGCGGCGGTAGCTAGTTAATACATAACTGCTAAAACGTGGACGAATGAAACTACTACAATGTACATCTCTGCCTATCCCCTCAATGACAGACAACCGTAAAAAACGTTTATACAAAAAAACAAATGAAGTGCAAATTAAACACTTCCATTTCATTTTAAACCCTATCTCATTACCATAAAGCTGTAGATACAAAATCTAAATAATACTTGCATTACAAACTTCTTACTGCAGCTCTAATCATTCTTATTTCTATAGCGCAAGAGTTGAAAATCATTTGCATGACCTGTAAATAAACGTTGTAGTTTTCTTATAGAGTTTAAGATCGCAATAGTGCATGCGATGTGACAGTTAACAAGGCATATGTTAACGGTTCAAACATGTTCACCGTTACATAGGAAAATATTCTCTATTTCCTGTAATCTAAAGTTCAGATTCCTAAGTAGATAAAATCTAGTTCATACGTAATTTTCGATTTTCAAATATGAACTCTATCAAAGAGATGTTACGTTTTAGTTTAGATTGGAACTTAAATGTTCTTATAGTCGGTTCGAGAGTTATAATTATTCAGAAATTAACTCTATTTACAGAGTGTTAAAGTTGGTATTTGTTTAAGACAAGATTATGGTTAATTTAACGATTGTTAGTAGATTATAATCTTACAATGTTGCTTTGTTGCCTATAGGTACATTGCCTTTATAGGAACTTTGTCCTGTTATTCTTAGAAGAGGTAAGCAGTGTAATCAACTGTTGGTACAGTACAGTAGGTACAACAATTTCAAACAACAATGTTTGCCGGTATTAGGGATCGAACCCGCAACTTTCAATATTTCTGTGGTCTAACAAGTCACTCAAGCACTCGAATCACAAGACAATCGCAAAAACACAAACACAATTTATTTTTAACAAAACCGAAGTCTCGGGAATCAGTTTTACAAAAATAACAAATACATATTGCTTACGATTTTCATCTCTATGACCTTCAAAATAGTAATTATGAAGACTGCACTTGTCATAGTATGTACTTCTAAGCCTAACCAGCACCAGACTCACGAAGTAACCTTTGCAAAAATACAAAATCAATCAACACCCACGAATTTCAATCTTATAGCCCTTGAAATAAGAATTAAGAAGGCGGTAAATGTTACACATTCTACAATCCTCGCGAAAACCTAACAAAAATAACAGATGAATCAACACATACGATTTTGAACTTTATTTCGATTAATATAAGTATTACAAAGACGGTAAATGTCCTACAATCCTCGCGAAAACCTTACATAGATAATAAATCAATCAACACAAACGATTTTCGACTTTATGCACCTTGACATAGCAATTATGCAAGTGGTAATTGTTATGTTGGTCGTATGAGAAGCGCTGAATGCAGGGCCAATGAACTCGACAAGTTAGTTTTAGGTGTAATATCTCGAAGACAGGGTTGGCAGTTGCGGCGCGTCGCGTTCCGTGTGCGCCTTAAAGAGCCATCAGACCACCACGGATGGGGCTCAATAGCCTCAATAAAAGATGCCGAGAACATAAAAGGTCACCGGGGCTCCGGTTCGAAGTGCAGGAGTAGAAACGGGGTGGTTTCTAGTCAGTAAGAGCCTGACACTTCCTCTCGCCTCGCCCAGGCAGGAGAAGTCATTTGATGATTTTCTCCCCCTTAAGAATAAAATAAAGTAAAGAGTTGGCAGTTGGGAGAAACAATATATTCTTAATTAATTTATGGTTTAGCTGCTAACAGTTAGGCTTTTATGTAACTGTCAATTGGAACTTTTGTTTGAAATAAGCTCGATCGCATTCTCGGGCCGTCATTGGTTGAGATTATTCTAACATCAATGACATGGGGACCGTACTGTATAAAAAATGTGATCCTTGTAATACAGGGTATCATTAATAAAAAATAAATCATTTCGACTGTTCAATGCAACAAAATATATAAAAAAAATCAAACTTTCATTAATTGATTTTATGACTAATTTAATTTTAGTATATTTCCAGCAATTAAAAAAAAATAAATATGCTACCTAACGTCACAATACACAATTCATAGAAAACTCTCATTTTTGACAGTTCGAAAAAAGTATTGAATTTGACTAGTCGGCAAGTACCCGATTAGTTCGACACAACCCTACAAAATGTTCGTCGTAGTATTAGCGACAGACAATGCATGGTCGCAGGTACATACAGCTACACATCGAGCTTTACATAACCAGTATAAACTGAACGTTAAATGTGCGGAAAGATGATGCGACGCGACACCAGGATAAACTGGTTTTGTATAGGTTGATGTGTGGCCGGGTGTACAGTCAAAGTTAGTATTGCACGGGAAGTGACCGGTAATCATCGGACGCCGGTCATTGACAACTCTACAGCTTAAAGTTCAACTAGTGTTGTTTGCACGCTTCGTAAAAGGTTTTCTTTTTGTATTTGATGGACCGACGTCTGCGGTGTCTAGATGTTGTAGATAGTCTACGTACGCGATGGAGCACGTCGTCCCATAAGGAACCTATTCACTCGGGCCTTGAAGACACCCAGGTTATAGTTCATTCACCCCTTCAGTTGGACAAAAATATGACTTTCTCTATGTATGTTTCACACCCATATTAATGTTTAAAGATGATCGAATTAGTAGAAGAGATATCGTTTTTTTTTAATTGGGGAAAATTAGCGAGTGACTTCTCCCGCCTATTTTTTTAAGGGGGGAAAATCATCGAATGACTGGTCCCGCTTAGGTGAGGCGGGAGGGAATGTCAAACTCTTACTGACTAAAAACCACCCCGTTACTACTCCTGCACTTAGAGCCGGAACCTACGCAACCCATTAAGTCATCCGCGGCTTTGTATCGGCATCAGCTCAAAATAGACATCTAGCAGATAACCTTTCGATACATAGTTAATTAATATTGAAAACAGGTATTAAGGTTATTATTGTACAGAGAAATGAACCTAATATCTTAGTTACGTGTCGTGTGTCATCAACGCTAAAAGAAATATATAATTATAGGTGTATTGGTAATGTTTATTTGATAACACATTCAGCTAAAGATCATTCCATTTAGTATGGTACCCTCAAGTTAACCTGAGGGGGGCTTAGGAAATAATAACCTGAGTATATCCTTTTCTGTGGAAAACTATCTAATGCCTTCTCCCTTGGTTGAGGCGAGAGAGAGTGTTGACTAAAAACCGTCCCGACTCCTGGGGGCTTACTCTTGAATCCAATTCCGATTGAGCGACATTGGTATTGTGAAATTTCGTACACTTGAGTTGCAACACTAGCGCCCATTGTATCCGTATTGCGTGGATATTGAATGAACTAAATGGTATTGAGTTTGGCTTTATATTCCGTACTCTGAATGCTATTTCAACAGCTACGATAGGGGTTGTATAGTTTTGACATTGAATCATTATTGAGATTTTTTTGGATTGAATTTGCAATTGACATTGAGGTTGTTTTCAAGAGTAAGCACCCTGCTCTTCGAGCCGCAGCCTTGGCAACCCGATAAGTCTTCCGCGATCCGGGTATATAGATAGATAGATAGAAAAACCATTTATTACCACGACACACACCAACCTATCACAAGCCAAGCAACTACCTTCAGATGATGCTTAGACTAGTTAATTAGAAAGATTTACTTATCAAGCCAGGCCTAGCTAGGTACCAAACCTTTACCTAACCATACTTCTCGTTCTTTTTCCAAAATGGTCAGCACAGTACATCTTTTCCCACCCCCACCCCCCCCCCTTTATAAAACATCACTATCTCTCTTTCATAACCGTAACCCAACAACTACAACACACAAAAATACACCCAATTACCATAATTATACAGCCGACATTCCCACCCTATGACAACTACAGACATTTACTTCCAGTTAGCCGCAACTAGCAGTTAGCATGAATAACTAAAGTATTCCTGTAACTATATTGAAGGGGGATCAATACTTTTCCTTGGTTTCCCAGATCGATATGTTAATCACCGGGTAATACCCAGACTAATAATAAATTTAACAGTTTGTAGGGATGTTATTCATGTGATGACGATTTTTTTTTAAGGGGCGAATTCATCGAATGACTGCTCCCGCCTGGGTGAGGCGGGAGGGAGTGTCAGACTCTTACTGACTAAAAACCACCCCGTTCCTTCTCCTGCACGTCGAGCCGGAGCCCCGGTTATCCGTTAGGTTCTCCGCGACTCCGAATCGGCATCGGCCCTGTTGGGCCCCAGCTGTGGTGTACCTACGTTGTCATCACCCCTCATCTTCCCGCTGCAGTCCTACGAGTCTAAGGCTTTTTACACAAGGCCCAGTTACAAATGCTTTGAAATATCACCCTAAAAGGATAAAGTTCTATTGAGCATGCTCAAAAATGTTTATATTAGCAGAGGCGAAAGAGCATACTAGAGAGCATGGCTTGACACTAGATTATTTCCTCGTCAAACAGTTAAGTGAGTAAGCCGAAAACATCTTATACTATTCCATCCATTCAACTACTCACTTTTCTCCTTACGAACTGTTATTTGGAAATAAACCATATATTATACCAGATTTATGAAGTAACTGCAGGTGTGACTTATCCCGATTATGTTCGCGTACTCCAAAATAGACTGAAATACTGTCGAACTAAAGCCATGGAATAGAAGCGGAAGAGTTTGTTTTTTTGTTTGTTTGTTCGAACGCGCTTATCTACGTAACTACAAGTCTGATTTTAATAATTCTTTTTGTGTTGAATAGCGCATTTATCGAGGATGGCTGTAGGCTATAAAACATCACGCTAGGACCTACAGGAGCCGAGCAGAGCGGGTGCAACCACGCGGGAGTAGAGTAGTAAAAACATATTAAGTTACTTACCACCGAATAGATTAGCGGCATCGAGCAGTCCGTCGGAGGGTGCCTTCCCCGCCTCGCCCTCCGGCCCTTCCTTATCCATAACACGCCTGAAACAAAAACAATAACATTTAACATAGTGCTTACAGGGATAATTGCGGGCTCATTTTACTTAAGAGTTACCTCTTTTTTTAAGGGGGGAAAGTCATCGACTGACTTCTGCCGCCTGAGTGAGGCAGGAGGGAGATTTAGACTCTTACTGACTAAAAACAACACCATTCCTACTCCTGCACTTCGAGCTTGAGCCCCGGTAACCCGTTAAGTTCTCCGCGGCTCCGTATCGCCATCAGCCCTATTAGACCCCATCTGTGGTGGTCTGATGGTTCTCTGAGCCGCGCGCGGAACGCGACGCGGCGTACGCTCGGGATAGAGTAACCTCTGGTAGGGTATGTTGGAGCGTAGATCAACGGGAGACACAATGCGTTTACTATGGTGTCTCATATATTGACAGACAACAAGTTAAAATTGTTCAACGGGTCTCTGCGAGCTAGGCCTCTGTTGGCTTCGGCTCCTCGTACGACTTCCAAAGGTCCGAGACCCTGTGTTCCCGTGAATGAAAGCGAACATTTGATAAAAATACAACAAAAGAAATAAAAATTAAATGTTTTTCAATAGAACATGGCGGCAAACGAACAGACGAATCACCTGATGGTAAGCAATCAGCGTCGTCAATGGACACCTGGAACACTAGAGGGCTCAATCCTGTGTTTTTCTTTTCTTTTTTTAAAAAGCATTGCCCCCCCCCCAGGATTTTCTCCTGTATCGTGGGAGCGTTTACAAACACACAAGTTCACATACACAATGACACCCAGACCCGAACAACAATCTGTGCATCACACAAAGTGTTGTTCCGTGCGGGAATCATTTAGTGTTGCGCTTGCGTTTTATTACCGGACTTTTACAGATTAAGGTAAATCTTTTAGGTAGCAAATTCAAAAATATTTCGATTTTGAGGTCATTATAAATCTCAACTTCAACATAACTTTACTGATAATATTTCAAACTAAACAAATATAAATGGTTTTTGTACACACAACACAAACCAGTTATTTCGACAAATATGTATTAGTTTCATTTTTTAATGTTTTATTTGGATACAAAAAGCGGGTCAAGGTTATTTTGTTTCTATTTAGTTAATATGTATCTTTTATTAAGTAAATTCATATTTTTTATTTCTCATAGGTAAGTCACAGTCAAAGGATTAGCAAGCTGAAATGGCAGAGGGCCGGTTACATTTGTCGAAGAACCGATGACCGCTGGAGTAGACGTGTTCTGGAGTGGAGACCGCGTCTAGGCAAACGTAGTGTAGGGCGCCTTCCAGCTAAGAGGAGTGACGATATACGTAAAGTGGCTGGTAGTGGTTGGATGCGTAGAGCTGAAGGCCGAGCTCAGTGGCGTGCCATTGGAGAGGCTTATGTCCAACAGTGGACGAAAACAGGCTGTTGGTGGTGAAGTCACCGTCAGTCAATTTTTCAATTTTTCGAAAACTTTACCGGGCACAATTGGAAACTTCGTGGCGGGGTATTGCAGAGTTTCATCGAAACCGAAAAGTTAAAAAAGATAAGAATTTATTAATAATTGGAATACTTGACCAACGAGGCATGAAGTTTACATAGGAAGCTAATTTATACCAAAAATTCTACCCTACAATTTTATACAGTAAATTCTAAAACAATAATAATGGTAAACTGCCAGAACAGACTGTTGGCAGAGTAGTTGCAAGTGCGACCGTCGGGCAAAGTACTACTGGGTTTTTAAAAACTCTCAGTAGTAGCACGGAGTCTGGAATAGTGCCCGGTATACGGCAATAGGCTCACCCCCTATTACATGGGACACATAACATAAATAGTGAAAAGTGGGTGTTACATTGTACAATGGCATTAACTGCTGTAATGTACACTTTTGCCTACCCCTTGGGAGATAAAAGGCGTGATGTTATAAAATAATAATGTTAAACTAAAATTATCATCCTAAGTAATGAGACGTATATTCGTAGATAACGTAGTACTTCCTCCTACCCCAACAAATAGGGGGGTAAAACATCAATGGGGGTACAATGGGGTGTGAAATTCCACCCCCTAAACAGTGAATGGAGTTAATTTTTTAATGAAACCCCGTGGTATGGCGGTCTGGTCAAATATTTTTGGCATATTTTGGTGCATTTTACCTTGTTCGTCACTACATAGTATAAAACAAAGTCGCTATTCGCCGTCTGTCTGTCCCTATGTATGCTTAGATCTTTAAAACTACGCAACGGATTTTGATGCGGGTTTTTTAAATAGATAGAGTGATTCTTAAGGAAGGTTTATATCTATAATACATGCATATTGCATCCGTTCGAAGCCGGGCCGGGTCCTAATAATTCTTTATATAATCCGAATTTCACGTAAAATATTCGCGTTAGCAATCAATCTAGTCAAATCTTCGTGTTAATACCAACTTTATTGAGAAGGTCAGTAAAGAATATAATATTAAGTATTCATATATAATTTATTCTATTATGTATATAAACATTACATACATTCATAAACACATTTTTGACTCATTTATTACCCTAATATCCCGATTCCCTAACAATCCTCAAATGCATAATCCCCAAATGGCCGGTAACGCACTTGTAACGCCTCTGGTGTTTCATGTGTCCACGGCCGGCCGGCACCATCAGGTGAACCAGCGGACCATTTACCGGTTTATTCCACAAAAAAAAATATATGTGCATCTAGGTAATAGATACAAAGCGCCATCAACTACAATTCTTACGTATATTTCTTTAGCTTCCATAACAATACTGCATCTAGTCACACAAGCGGCAAGCACATTTGTTAGCAGACTAAAATCATAAAAAAAAACAAAAAAAACATAACCTTAACCTCAACAAAGTTTCATAGAACAACTTTGAAACTCAAAAAATATCGCAAAGATTTTTTTTTCAACCGAAAATTTCATTCACTGCACCCCCAAGGTTACATACAAGGATAATGCAATAAGGAAACAGCCCCCAACCCCACCCCCGACCCGACCCCACGCTCAGCTGATAGGGGGTCACCCCACCGGGTGGTAGCTCAGTATAGCATTAATATATAAGTAGGTATGTATGTCAGTTGACCTAGGTCACGATTTTGACGTCACGATTCAAGGTAATTAAGAAAAATTTATTCCTTATTATTAATTATTTTCGTCTGAGATTTTTGTGAGGAATTTATATTGAACCGGACGATGAGATTGTTATTTGTATGGTCTTTGTTAATTATCTAGCTTTCCACCCGCGACTTCTCCTGTATCACTTTATCTATTAAAAACCCCAACAAATACTGTTGCGTGATTTTAAAGATCTAAGCACACAGACAAACATGATTGAAAAAGAGTAACCTATGGAGTTTCTTGCTCGTTCTTCTCCATAGGAATCAACACCTTGAATTGAGCAAATATCTTCACTTTTTTTTTTTTTTTTTGTTGACGGAAGTTCAAACATACGGCTTAGACTAGCTAAAATTTTTTACTTTAGAATTCCGTTTCAATTACACGTAAAAGAGGACCATTTATTACTGTTGCCGTTATAACAACAATTATTCACTAACTACCTACCATAAACACGTCTCCAGAACCGTTTTTTTTCTAATTCAAAACAGTTGTTAGTACAAGTTATTCATTTTCCTCTGATGCCCGGACTTCAGTGTTCCGATGTTTTCATGGTTGTATCTACTGTAGAGATGTCTTACAGGAGTTGCAGCGGTTTTGGGAGGTTGTGGCGGACTTGTCCCATCATATAAAAGAAATATCCTTATTCATAGTCGTGTCTCTCGTCAAACTATGTCATTGACATAAATAATTATGACTATAACATCTTGTAGAGTGGTTAGTCAGTCGACTGACGTAATATCTCGGTCGCATCTTTTGTTATAGCGATGGAAAGAGATAGCGCATTCTCGGTGTCTTTGTAAATACGTAACAGTTTTGTTTTGTATTGTTTAGGTTTGGCCCTATCAGAGATCATACGTAATTATAGTATTTTTAGCTTTAGAGGTTATTTTAAGGGGGGGGGGATCGTTGAATGACTGCTCCCACCTGGATGAGGCGGGAGGGAGTGTCAGACTCTTACTGACTAAAAACCACCCCGTTCCTTCTCCTGCACGTCGAGCCGGAGTCCCGGTAACCCGTTAGGTTCTCCGCGACTCCAAATCGGCATCGGCCCTGTTGGGCCCCAACCGTGGTGGTCTGATAGCGCTCTTGAGGATCGTTGGGATTCAGGAATTGGGGAGATTGGGGAAGGGGAGGGTAATTGGCCCTCCAGCAACCTCACTCACACGACAAAACACAACGAAAGCGTTGCTTCACGTCGGTTTTCTGTGAGGCCGTGGTATCACTCCGGTCGAGCCGGCCCATTCATGCTGTAGCATGGCTCTCCCACACTTTCATTACAGATATCCATCATAAATATAACACATCTGTTTATAAAGCGACACAACATTATACATGTGCCTCGAGTCCACACAGTACATTACCGTCGCCCACACACTTGAATTTCCCTGTGTACCTTAAGCTAACCGAATTTGGAGACAAGCAGTCAATCTTGTACGGACAAAGATTATGCAGTGTATGCAGAACTGACTCAAAAGAAAATAAAGTTACTATTTTTTATGGGAAAAGCTGGTAAACAAGCTGACACGACGAATCACTTTATAGTAAGCAATCAGCGTCGCCAATGGACACCTGAAGACCGGACCTGCTTCAACACCAGAGACGTTACAAGTGCGTCACCGGCATTACCCCTTAAGGCATTAGGAATTTAAAGATTGTTGAGGATTCAGGGATTGAAGAGATTGAGGAGGGGGGAGGGGGGTAATTGGATTTTCGTTAACATCACTCACACGATGAAATACAACACTAGCGTTGTTTCACGTCGATTTTCTGTGAGGCCGTGGTATCACTCAGGTCGAGCCGGCCCATTCGTGCGAACCACAATTATAGTCTAGAGGATAGTTCGTTTCTAAGTGACTAGTCATAGATTTCTGGTTCATTATTCCATATATATTTAATAGAAACCTATGAC